AGCATGCAGCCTTCGTGACCCCGTTCTGCTTTCACAAACAAAGAAAAAGAAGGAAGTGATGAGGTGAGGGGAGAATAGAAATAATGAATTTGGTGGGTCTAGGTCTCATGAATGAGAAGTTGTGGTGAACACTCGCTGACTCTGGGGAGTCTCTCCAACTTGCTCAACCCAGAGAACCTGAGAGGCATGGCCTGAGCACTGGGCTCCTGCTGCCCAGAGAGGAGAACCTGACTGTTGGGAGGAGGGCACGAGAGCCCTGGTGGATGCCCCGACCAAGCCTTATGCTATACGTTGCCAAGAAGCTTTGCACTACTATCCTCCTAGCCTTTGAGCTAAAATGATTTGCCAAGGAGAAGGACCATGGGCTTTTACTGATAAAATACAGCTCAGTTAGATTCATGACCCAAGATCCAAAGATGGGTTTCAGGGGAACTGCTCTCAAGACTGGATGCAAAATTTTGCACATATATAAGTATGTGTATTTTTCTGGGTTCACTGCTTTCATTTTTCAAAGAGGTTCAAGACACCATATAGAATGTGATTTTTAAGAAATTTAATATATTACCCTTTTTTGTTATGCCGCTTCTTACTTATCCAACAGGCACCTAAGGAATTTAAATTTCAAATATTTCCAAGAAAATCAAGCAAGGTTCAAGAGCTGGCAGTGAAGTTGGAGAATGTGGCATGCCTGCTAATGCTGACTTTCACACTCTCCTTAACACTCAGGAGGACAAAAAAGGTGACATGTTAAGATTGATTACAGCCCTGGCTGGTGTGGCTCAGTGGGTTGAGAGCTGGACTGTGAACCAAAGGTATGCTGGTTCGATTCCCAGTCAAGGTTACATGCCTGGGTTGCAGGCCAGGCCCCAACTTGTGGGTGTGCGAGAGGCAGCCAATAGATGTTTCTCTCACACATTAATGTTTCTCTCCCTCTTCCTCCCTCCCTTCCCCCTCTCTAAAAAAATAAATAAGTAAATAAAATCTTAATATAAAAATAAAAAATAAAATATTAAGAAAAGAATGATTATAAATTACCACCTGAGGTAGATTAAGTCACATTGTAGCAGCTGAAATTAGGTAAGTCACTGTCGGTGATAGGAAATGCAATGGGAGGGCATGAAAAAATACTTGACCCAGAATATGGAGGCCAGGAGTCTAGCCTCTAGTCATGGCTCTGCCTACTTTTAATCTGTGACATTGGACAAGTCCCTTCTCCTTCTGTGCTTGGGTCCTTATCTGTAAAATGCAGGCCACTGACATACACCTGTGGTTTGGAAACTCTCTTAAGGCAATGAGCATTATGTTTAGATAAAATCATCTAGAATTCAACTGAAGGTAAAACAAATTCAAAATGACAGGCTGAATATACACATTTATCTCCACTCCTCTAGAAACTCCATAAGTTTTTATTCTTAAATATCTTCACTTACTGAGCATTTACCACATGATTGTCTTATTAAGTGTATTGACTAATGGAAACCTACCACTTTTGTCAGATAGGGAATGCCCCCCATTTTACAGATGACGGAACTGAATCACCAGCGTTTAGGGAACTTGCCCAAGTTCTCCCAACTAGTAAGTGGCAGAGCCGGGATTCAAACCCAGGCAGTCAGGCTTGAGTCTGTGCTATGCATATGGCCTCTCAGACTGACAATCGAGGAATAGCAAAGCTCCCAAAGAAAAAGAAACAGAGAGAGAGAGAGAGAGATTAGAAACGGCACCAAATTCTGGAAGATGCAAATCAGACAGATGAGTAGTAACTGACTTAGATGGAGAACACTGCCTGCTGCAGCTGCAGACCCCACCCCAAAATCACCTGGCGGAGACGCACAGGTTTCCTCTCCAGGTGTGAGCATTAAGGAAGGCTGAAAACAGGCAGGGATAGTCCCCACACCAGGCAAAAAACTGCTCCACCACTGTCCCAGCAGAAAACTGGAGGCTTATTCTCGGAACAGGGCCGATCAGAGCCTCCAGACTTCGGTAAACAGGGCACCGCTGAAGACAAGGGAGTGGCACCACTCGCAGGGAGTGAGCGAAAGCCTGCACGCAGAAGGGAGCGCTCCCAGTCCCCGCCCACCACGAGGCTCCTGGGCTAGCAGCCAGGCTGATCCCACCTAGTCAGAAGCCTGAAGAGGCTCCATGGATTCTGCACACATTTCATGGAAAAGGACAGGTCCGTCACCCTACAGCTGAGGCTCTCAGAATGTGGCCTCAGACAGGCAGTACTATCACTAAAGAATTTGTCAGAAAAGCAAATTCTCAAGCCCACGTCAGAGCTACTGGATAAGAAATTCCGAGGTGAGGCCCAACAGCCCGTGAACAAGACCGCCAGGAGATTCTAATGCCCACTAAAGTTTGAGAACCACTGCTCTACAGGGCAGCCCATCAGTCAATAAACCCATCCCACACCCAAAAGCTGCCAACCGGCTTTCTAGGACTGACTTATTTGGAAGACAGTCTGGAATCACCAGGAGCTTCAGGACACACGCCATCCTGAAAGAGAGAGAGCAAAAGAGATTCCACAGAGCAGCTCTAGTGAACGGGAGGGAGGAGGGGCAGAGCCTGGCTTGCGTGGCCGCTCCTCGGCGCCGACCACCACACTGCCGCTGAGCCGCGTCTCGGGCTCCGCGGAACGGTTAGGAAACCAGTGAAGCACATGCTTCCTCCACCCCTGCCCAGCTCTCGCCTGTGCCTATACTGGTCTTTATGTCGCAGACCCTTGAAACTAATACAGCAATTTAAATGGACACTCTTGGTGGGAACTACCTCTGATGATTTCCTTATTTGGAACTAACTCTGGTCTCTGAAGGCACAAAAAGCATTTCAATGAAAAAAAGTCATAAAAGCATTTTTATGCTAAAGGGCTGCTATGGTCTGTATTTGCATTAGATGCAGAGGCCAAGTGTACCGCTTTAACTCCACCATGCCTTTTCCGCTTCTCTGTATCTTACAGGCTCTCCCTGACTCACCCTTTCAGGCTAAATCTTAATCCAAAAAATTTTCCCCTATTACTGCTTTTCACCAGTCTCTACTCACCCCAAGTTACTGCCACAACCAGATCATTCTTCTGCTTACAAATCCCTAGTAACCTCGACCTCAAAAACCTCTCATTATATTTCTTTCTTCTGCCTCCTTTATTCCAGCTCATTTTTCTTAAACCCCTTGGTTCCCACTAAAGATCCTTCCCCCTCTCGGGCCACCTCACTCCTCTACAGGAAAATGAATCTCCTTCCGGAGGGGTTTATGAAACCAAGGGGCCTTATGACTCTGGTTAAATAATTTAATTTTAAATCCTAGCTCTAGAAATCATTCTCCCCCATCCCAGCCATTCCCCCAATAAGCAGAAGACAGTAGTCCCAGCCTAACTAACAGTCGCAAGGTCAGACCTCTGGCAGGCTAAAGATAACATCTAGAGCTAGGTTATGGTTCAGTTCCTCAGCCCTAAGGTGGAATGATCCTGGGACTACTTTCCCATGAAACCAGACAAAAGGACAGAGGAACAGACCTCAGAGCTGTCCTCAAGACCTAAGGAAAAGATTCACTATTCTTACCTCCCCTCTGACCAGTCAGCTTCTAACACCATGTCAACCCCTAATCCCTAACCCCTGGTGCCTTGTGATTTTGCCTTATATAATCTGTAATCTACACTCCAGGGAGGAGTCCAGGCTTTTGAGCATTAGTTTCCCGTTCTGGATTGCGCCATTCATCAATAAAATAGCCACTATTTCTCCACTGCAATTCTCGGTATTTCGTGTTTGGTTCCGATAGTGCGGGATGAATGAATTCTTTCTATCCTATAACATTTAGAGTGATGAAAAACTTATGCTAGTAAAGATTAAATTAAAAACAACAACAACAAAACCCTTATGCCAGGCATTATGCAAAAAAAAAAAATACGACAAATGTTCTCATTTAATCCTTACACTAATAGTGAGAAGTAGGAGTCATCTCTATTTTTGCATTCGGAAAACTGATGCTTAGAGAAATTAAGTAACTTGCCCAAGGTTACAGCTAGGATTTTAATCTAAATCTTTAAATCTCGAAAGTTACACTTGGCCATTGTATTCGACCGCCTCCAGAGGTTTGACTCAAATGCGTAAAAGAAAAAGTTTCCTTACTTTTGTAGAAAATAAGGGCAAAAAGAGCTCTGTATAGTATCATTTCGTTTTTAAAGCTCTCCGGGCGTTGAGGGCTTTGCAGCCAAAGCCCAGGGGGGAACAGGCTCCCGGCAGCATCTCCCCACCCGGGGGGCTCCACGGGTCTCGGCAGCCGGCCCAGCAGCAGCCCAGGAGCCTCTGCAGCAGGAACAAACGCAAAGCGCAGGAGGGAGGCTGGCTCTGGCGCCCAGGATGCCGGCAGGGAACAAGTGGCTAGGACATCCCGCTCCACGCAGCGCATCAGTCCATTTTCCGTGACCTGTGAGGCGGTGGTGGTGGTGGGAGGTATCCCGGGGCGGGGGGCAGAGTAGCTGCCACATCAAAAAATTTCCAGATCCGATTTTAAAAGCTCTTGAGGGACAAGGCATTAATCTAACAATCGGGGCAAGCAATGACTGCTAAGGAAAAGCCTGTGCTTCTACAATGCAGCTAACTTCGAAGGCACATAGAATATCTACTGTGACAAGAGAAGGTGCTTCGGTGCTGCCTATTAGAATGTAGAGATGGCCACCACCTCTTCCTCTACGGAGGGGCTGCAAGTCAATTTTCTCTTGTCTGTGACAGAAAAGGGTGGCGGGCACCCCGATGTCTCCCACTCTGAGGGCCTCCGCGGCGCGCCTCTCAGCCTTTCCTTCTAAGGGCTGAGAGGCTGTGTTGGTCCATCAACCCACGCAGCCCCAAGCCCCCTCTCCTACTCGCCACATCTCTGCCCTACAGTCTCCCTCAAACCTCCTTTCCCCAACCCTCTGCCCGCTAAACCTCGCTTCCCCTACCGGCCCCGCCCCTCTTCCCTCCCGACACGGTCCCCTTTCCCTCAGCTCCAAGCCTCCCAGCGATCAGCACCTTAAGCGTCACGTCGCACAGCTTGCCCTGCCGCCGGATCTCCTCCATGACGCCGTAGCCGCGACTGGGCAACTCGGACACGGAGAAATGCACCAGATCTTCCAGCTCCTCCGCGCCGTCCTCCACCATCTTCCCCGGCCGCCGCGACTGCGCAGGCCTGGCCGGCCGGCTCCAAACTAATCAGGGCGGGGCGCGGACACGCGCCGACGACAGCTCCGGCGCAGTCCTGGGATTACACGGGCCTACGCGGCCGCCGTAGTTGAAGACAGCTCTGCGCCGGAAGCCCTGCTGCCCCACTTCCTGGCTCCTGAACGGCCTCCGTTCCCTCATCTCGACCTTCGTCTCGCGCCTGCAGCTGCCGTATTCTTCCTAGAATCAACGGTCCCATCTCCGGTTTTCCCGATTCTGCCCTGACCGTACTCGTATCTCAAGAGAGGACCACAGACTTCATTTCCGCCACCACCCCGCTACTTCCGGAACCTCCGGAAGCGGCCCGTTGCCATGGCGGCCGTGTACACAGCCGGGCTGCTCAGCTCAGGGATTCTTGGTAGCATCAGCTGCAGAGGTCGCGCTGCGGCGAGGCTACTACCTCCGTCCCGGTGAGCAGGGGCCACTCACTGACTGTCGGGGTGGGATGAAGGAAGGTCAGGGAGGGGGTGTACGCCCGGGATCCCAATACCGCTCCACTCGGGAGTCCTACAGCTTGGCTCCTTGATCTGCGAAACCGGGCGGTAGAGGGAGCGGCTTCTCGGGGGCCCTTTCTGCCTTGCTGCAGCTTGGGGTCTTCGGACCTAAAGTTCCCTGGCCACACGAGGGTCCTATGTCGCGCCTGAGGTTCAGAGTGGGTGAGGCAGGAGACCAGAGGTCTTCTGGGCTTTTGTGCACTTAACGGTTTTCAAATTGCAGGGGACTTTAGGATTGACAGTCTGAGCCTTTTGCTTTACAAATAAAGAAACTGTTCCAGAGAAGGACAGGAATGGTCCTAAGGCCCACTGCCACCCAGACTCCACAAAGGGGTCCGGCATTTTGGGTGAGAAAAAGGAGAAAGGCCAGTTCTGCCTGGATCCTAGTCTGTCGTTTAGCCCAAGGCTGGATGCGTTTGGCCCCTGTTTTGGGGCTTTTCAGATGCTGCTTCCGCTCTGGTGGCTATGAGGGTTTCCCATGAGAGCCCCAGGTCTGGGCAGCAGGGCTGGAAGATAGGGACCCACCTGACGCCTACTGTCCCCGCATATGCTCCCTCTCCTTTTATTGAGCCTTCAGATACTTGGTGGCAATTCTGTTCATTCCCACCCCTAAAACAAACGAGAAAAGCGCTAGCTTCTACAGCAGGGTGTTTTCCTGGTGGCCATTCAGAGGTTTACTTATTTACAACAGAAATATCTAAGGGCAGCACCTGCGAGAGCGACATTCCCCGCAAGGCCCCAACGTCCCTACTAAATGAGGGCGTGTGAGGGGGATGACCATGGCTTCTTGAAAGTGGTGCTTGGAAACCAAGTGTCCTCCTAAAAGGGCTGTGGGCTTATGAGTTGCTGTGGGAGGGGAATGACATTATATGCCCCTTGGGACTCTCTCAGTAGTGACGGAAGATGGACCCACATATGGAGATTCAGCCACCCTCTGACTTCCATCCATGACCATCACCACCAACCACCATTTCATGAGCACCTGCTCTGTGCCGGGCACTGTTCTGGACAGTGAGAGGGGACTCAAAAGAGATAACAGGCACAGTCCTGTCACTCAAGCAGCTGGTAATTTAATTTGGGAGCTGACACCCACTCAAATGATGCGGCGTAAGAACGCTAACAAGAATTATTTCAGTAAGTGCACGATGGCATGGGGTCCCCAAATGTCTGGGTGTCGAGGGGCTGCTGAGTAGCAGACTCACAAGAGGGGTATAGTTAATAAAGAAGGCTTGCTTCTAGTGGGTATGCCTGCTGCTGGCACACCTGGAGCCATGGTATGAGCACAGGGCCTTGGGAAGCACAATAGTTTGAGTGCATGTGCATGTTGGCAAATTGCAGGGCAGAGGAGGGGAAGGCTCTGGGGGGAGGGTGATGCTGGGAGCTGGCCTGTGCTGTCCTTGTGCTGTCAGTGGGCGGGGCCTGCCAGGATGGAGGCCTGGGCACTTGCCTCTGCAGGCTGCCCTGCTTCTTCATGGTACTTTTCAGCAGGTCCCCTAGGCAGGAAGATGGGCCCTCAGACAGGCACGGGGAATGGTCTCCAGAGCTTTAGAGACTGAGGGTGTTTGCTTGAGTCAAAGCACAGCTCCCTCCACTCTCAACTTCCCAATAGCCTAGAGCAGGGATTTTCAACCAGTGTGCCTGGAGGATTTTTAAAACGTGCAATACCTGTTTAGTCGAGACACTGATCTCTTTTCCCTTAGATTGTCAAATTAAAAAAATGACAACAGCCAGCACAATAATAGCCACCTGATGTGAATGAATCAAAATTATAACTATTTTTGGGTCAGATCAGCAAAAATATATTTTTTAGTGTGCTGCAGCATTTTATAATTAGTTTATGAGTGCCATAAGGTGAAAAAGGTTGAAAACTGCTGGCCTAGATGAAAGTGAACTTGGAAATGAGAAGTTCTCCTGAAGGTTTCCTCAGGTTGGGATTCATGTTAAAGCTATTTGTGGCTTTTTGTTTCTAAAGATCAATTTTGCAGACAAAGATTTCAGGACTAAAATTGGACAATCCATTATCTTTGCTCACCTGAATACTCTACATATTCATTTTCTAAGAATTAAAAGACCTGAATGATTCCATAGTGGAAAAAACTCACATGAAATCATTGCTTGAGGAATGTAGGAGGTGAACACATACCCTATAATAGGCAAATATGAAAGTAACATGCGTGCTTATTTGATTTGACATTTGAAGAGCTTGTAACTAGGGTTAGAGTTTTATGTCCACATCATTGACACCAAAAGGAAAGGGCAGGGCCTGACTCTATTTAACTCGCTTCTGTAGTTACTTAATGATACTTGATGAGAGTTAATATAATTGTTTGAGGAAATCAAGTGGTCACCACAAGTTAAATCTAGAAATGTGGAGGAACATTAATATTTTCAAAACATGAAGTCATTTTTATTCAGTAACACTCATTGAACTTCTCTTAGATAATACATGTAAAATGTTAACATTCTTTTTTTTTTTTAATTAAAAAATATTTTATTCATTTTTGGAGAGAGGGGAAGGGATGGAGAAAGAGAGGAAGAGAAACATTAATGTATGAGAGAGACATCAATTGGTTGCCTTTCCCTTGCCCCCAGCCAGGGACCTGGCTCACAACCCAGGCATGTGCTTTGACCGGGAACCAAACAAGTGACCTTTCCGTTCGCAGGCCGGTGCTCAGTCCACTGAGCCAAGCCAGCCAGGGCTAACATTCTTTATTTAAGGCAATTATTAAAAAATTTTTCATCCTCACCTGAGGACATTTTTTTCATTGCTTTGAGAGAGAGAGAGACAGACATCGATATGAAAGAGAAATGTCGGTGTGAGACAGAAACATCTATCAATTGCCCTTCCTAATGTGCCCTGACTAGGGATCAAACCCACAACCTGGGTATGTGCTGTGGAAATCAAACCCATGACCTTTCCATCTGCGGAATGACATTCCAACCAATCCAGCCCCACTGGCCAGGGCTTAATGTGATTTTTTTAAAAAGTGCAATAATTAGCTTGAATTAAAAGAAGGAATTTGTCCTGAATTTTTTTTTTACAGTAAAGATCTTGAAAATTAGTTTTTTAAAAATATTAAACATCGTATCAATTTTGTAATTGCCCAGAGAGAGTGCTTTGCAATAGCCCAAGCAAGCTGTAATTTTTAATAACTATCTTGATGTTGCTTTTTTTAACTTGAAGCTGGAATGAAGTGTGCTCCCTGTGCCTCATGTTTCCCTAACTCTTCATAAATTCAGTAAATTCCTTTGTTGTCTTTTTCAGAAGTATTCAGGAATTTTCTTTAGCCTCAACTCCTCTCTCCTGCCCCATGAAAGTACAGGTTATCTTAGGGGCATATGGCTCCTTTCTGATTGAACTGGTCCAACCTGACAAGAAGATCGAGAGAGAAGTACAGGACGTCTCCCTTATCCCCTCTGGCCTTGTCTCTGTTGAGTCATTTTGTGTATTGTGGAGCATTAACTCTAAATGAGTTAACTTTATTTACATTTATGGTTTGATAAAGTGAAATTATTGAAACTTCAGAGCCCAGTCTTAGGACTACATGACCACAAACTACTTGATGATATTCAAATTATTTTTTAAAAGGTTTTATTTATTTATTTTTAGAGAGGGGTAGGGAAGGGAGGAAGAGGGGGAGAGAAGCATTGATGTGCGAGAGAGACATCAATAGGTTGCCTCTCGCATGCCCCAACCAGGGACCTGGCCCGAAACCCAGGCATGTATGCTACACTGGGAATCAAACCAGTGACCCTTTGGTTTGCAGACCAGCACTCAATCCTCTGAGCCACACCAGCCAGGGCTCAAATAATTTTTAAAAAGAAAAAAGAAGGAAGGAAAAAACATTAGATTGGTGTTAGAAACATTTATATGTAAAATTAGAAATTTTAAAACAGTTTTTAAAATCTTGGAATAATTTAAAATTGTATTCTGTTAGCTCTCCCAAGTTTTGAGCAATGAAATTATTTTGGATATTTTCCCAGACCTCTATCTTTTCTAGTCTGACTTAACCAGATTTAATACAATTGATAATTACAGATAGATTTTTTAAAAATATAATGTTTGTTATATTTTCTCCATTACTATTTAGTCCCCATTAGATAGGTTTTTACTTAGCTTTCCATAGAGCTCTCAATAGTTAATCCTTTGTCATCAGCGTATAAGAGGCATCTAAAAAGCTGATTATTTTAAGTTCCCCTTAAAGCAATTAAGATCCTTGCAATTATTAATTCTATTTAATAGCCCTCTTGCTTCTCCACTCTGTCACTGTTAAAAACCAAAATTTACTGTCTAGTCAGCATTAAGTACTTCACACAGACAGGAGAGGGCCTCGCGTAATCTGACAATGAGACTAAAATGAGATTCCTTAGTTATCATTGGGAGGGTTGTACAGTTTAGCTTTTTAAATGTTAATCCTTTATTTGGAAGGATCTTCGAGATCCTTAAAAGGTTAACTTTCCCCTTTTGTAGTGTCTCTTGAGTTTATTTTACTGTTTATGGTGTTTATGGTCCTTATCTTGAAGAAGTCTTTTCCATTATAACACGACTCTACATAATGGAAGGTCATTTACCTAAATTGCCTACCTGTCACTTGTATTCATCCTATTGCGTGGAGCTACATCAAATGACGCATGGTAATTATGTGTGATTGTATAAATGAAGAAATACACATGTATGTTTCTGCCTGAAAGAAAATGGTGAGACTATAGTGAGGTCTCAGGAAAGGAAGAGGAAGGAGGGGGCTGTAGGTGATTTCTCTCTCAATGGAGGGCCAGAGAAGAAAGAATATTTGATTATGAGCTAGATTAAATGTACTTGTAGGGACTCTGTTCTGACCAAAGTTTATGTGATAGAGGTAGAGAAGGAGGTGCTGCATGTGAAGGAAGGCCTGTTAATGAAGAAAAGAATAAACTCTAAGGCTTTTCAAAGTAAGTACTGTATTTTCAAGGAAAATATAATGAATGAGGCAAAGCATATGTGGACTCAGATAGAGGGCATTTCTAGAAACCCCTTCTAACATTAGGCCACAAAAGAAAGTGCTCTTTGGTTTGTATTTCAGTGTCTCGGATGAGGGGCTCCTTGTTGGAAAATGGTGAGGCATCCTGTAAAGTTAGGGAGTACGAGTACTTGCTGAGCCGTGTCCTGTGCGGGGAGCGCTGAAATGCTAAGGGGTAAAAAGGAAGACTGGCTCCCAGTGAGATAGGAAATCGTGGACTGTACCTCACTCCTTTCTCATCTGCTTAATGAATGACAACTCCCCTCTCGTTGTTGTTTGATGATGATTACTGAGAATTTTGCAATTTTCTTCTTTTTAGCTAGAATGAGTACAAAAAAAAAAGTTCTTGCTTTTGTCCGTGTCAAACCCACAGATGACTTTGCTCATGAAATGATCAGATACGGAGATGACAACAAAGTAAGTGCAATGTGTCACCCGCTTGGGCCTCTCTCTGTCTCACCTCGCCTGAGTGTGACCATTTCCAAACAACTTTTTTTTTTTTAAAGATTTTATTTATTTTCAGAGAGAAGGGAAGGGAGGGAGAAAGAGAGGGAGAGAAACATCGATCAGTTGCCTTGCACATGCCCCCAAACAGAGAACAGCCTGCAACCCAGGCATGTTCCCTGACTGGGAATCAAATCCACAACCCTTCAATTCACAGGCCGGTGCTCGATCCACTGAGCCACACCAGCCAGGGCCCAAACAACCTTTTAATGACCAAGACAGAATTGGTAAAAGTCCAGATGGACTCTAGAGTCCATCAAGTCCAAACCAGTCCCGTGCAATGCTGTTGGTGAGGAAACTATGAAATTCCCATTTTTAATTGTCTTCTGTTTAGTAAGTTTATCCTTGTGTCTGACACAGAAAAACTGACATTTGTGATCAGATGTTCTGTTACATAATCTCCCAGAAAGGGGGTCATGAGAATGTCTCAAGGTGATTACTGTTAAACTTACCAAAGCAGTGGGAGAAACTCGTATTGGGAGAACTGGAAAGATTCATCCTTGTCCATCCTCATGTCCTCACCACTGTTCTGAGAACCTTTTTGAAGACTGTGACAGGCTTAGGGCAGCTTGAGAGCGTTGGATGTTTTCATTCAACAAACATTTGTGGATCTACTGCGGGCAACATAGGGAAGAAGTCAAGGGCAAACTGCCCAAGCTTCCAAAGTCCTAGCAGTTGGAAAAGAGTTCACATGTAGTGCTGTGCGGTGCACCCTGCTGGACGCAGTTTCAGTGAACACAGAAGCACAGAGCAATTTAAGTGTGAATGGACCAAGCCTCTCTTGTTCTTAGTTTTTCTGTGTGCGGCCATGTCTTGGCTCCTGGATTAGGGCAGCTAGTGTAAGATTCCAATGAGAGTCTGTTTGCTTCAGAAGTCCCCACGGCAAAGATTGGAATCTACCATTGACCTAACCCAATATGTTCTTTTTTATTTTTTTAAAGATTTTATTTATTTTTATTTTTTTAGAGAGGGGAAAGGAGGGAGAAAAAGAGGGAGAGAAACATCAGTGTGTGGTTGCCTCTCACATGCCCCCTTCTGAGGACCTGGCCCACAACCCAGGCATGTGCCCTGACTGAGAATCAAACCGACGACCCTTTGGTTCGCAGGCCAGCACTCAATCCACTGAGCCACACCAGCCAGGGCTAACCCAATATATTCTTAAACCACCTGCTGCCACAGTGGCTTGCTATGGAGGAATCTCAGAATCTAAAATTTTTTTTTTTAGAAATCTTTTCATCTAAAAATCAGCTGATTACAAGTAGGTAGACACCCTTGGTTTACTCCAGTACCAGTGAGTAACTCTGTCTGACATGACCAGAGCCTGTTCTGTAGCTGTTATTTCATCATTACTCATGTGGGCCATAGCGCGTGTGGGGGAGCAGGTACTCAGCACAGTGCTGAGGGAGGCCTCACTGCCAGTGACCAGAGAGAGGGATGGAGTATAAGCCCAGACTCTGTCACCAAGCCCACGGTCCTCTCTGGCCTGACCCAAGGCCTCCCTGTGCTTACTGAATGTATCTAAAGCTGGTTTAATGAGCACATAATAAGTGTGCTTGACCCCATGTCTTAGATGGGGGAACCAAGCCATCGTCCTGTGAACTAGGGAGAGGTGTACCAAAACTATGGAGCGCTCCAGTCTCCTGACCTGCCCAGCCTAAGGGTTGTGTGGCCTCCCTGCAGGAGCTTCCTTCTCCCCTCCCTGCCCCCAAAGAAATCACCTGGATCATCCAGAATATCAGCCCACACCTGTTCTCCCTAAGTTTACTTCTTCCATTTCCTCCAGATCACACCTCAGCCAACAGTGATTTTTTTTTACACCAGTCTCCTAACAAATACTAACTTATCTCCCTCTCCTTCCCATTTCCTAGACCATTGATATTCACTTAAAAAAAGATACTAGGAGGGGAGTTGTCAATAACCAGCAGACAGACTGGTCGTTCAAGCTGGATGGAGTTCTCCATGATGCCTCCCAAGATTTGGTTTATGAGACAGTCGCAAAGGACGTGGTTTCTCAGGCCCTCGATGGCTATAATGGTAATTTAGTTAACGAACTATTTTTCTTCAGAGCGTATGGTACTCCTTGTGGAGGAAGAGATGCAAGTATTTTATGGTGAATAAAATAAAATATAACCTCTTTTGCTAACTTTTATTTGCTTATTTGTCTCCATGTTCCTGATAATTTGCTTGTTGACGTTGTGGGCATGGCTTGATCCAATGTCCAGGACCCTGCCTTCATAGGAATGACCCTGGCTCTCTGTCAGTCACGGGGATTCAGCTATTACCCTGTTTCAATGATCTCAAACATTTGTTGTGAAGATAATGCCCTTATGATGAATTTGATGGAGTCCAAACATTTTTCTCTAGGCCACCTGCTTGGAGCTGTTTCCATTCATTCTATAAGCACAATCTACTGTTCATATTCTAGTCTAGGATTATATGTAAATAATATTGCTAGAAACATGAGTAGAGTTTGATTTCTTAATAAATTAAAAGCAGCTTTATTAGGAAATGTTTACAAACTCGTTCAGTTTAAGATTGTTTTAAAATCTCTTTTTCTTCACCCTTTACCCTCTTCTACCTCCTGCTGCTCTCCTTTCTTTCTGTTATGTTTTCAAATTTTTTACAGATTTTTAAATCCTTAGAGTATGTCACAGTTTGTAGACTGCCCATATGGTGGCTGCTGACTGGAATGTTACTCTTTGTTACTTTTAGGTCTGTTTCAAAAGTTGTAATCACTCCTTGTGATAACAGAGGTGTGGTTGTCATCAACCCTGAGGGGCTGTGGGCAAGAGGAGGTAGAGATAGAGGGACTAAGAGCCGAGGGAGGTTAAAAGTTTTGGGCTCTAAGTACTGGGGAACCACAAATGGGTTCTGAGTCCCAACTGCAGTGACTCACTCCTTTCTGCACATTTTTGTTGGGTTAACAGACACTCCTGATTTCCAGCTCAAATGCTGAATTAAGTACCCTCCCCCCAATCCCAGGAACTAGAGCGTCCGTCTGTGTGGCAAAGGCAAATACTGGTTTCCATGGCACAGCATTGCTCGGCGTGTCTGCTGTGTCCACGCCGAGAAGCAGCCTCAGGGGTGGGGTCTGCTCAGGCTGCCCAAGGTGGGAGCAGGAGTGGAAGGGAACCAAAGCCCAGGGTGGCTGTGTGGTTTGTGTCCTGGAGCCTGGTGGTGATGGTAGACCTAACGGACTACCTTTACCTGAGAGGTGCAAGTGAGAGTGTCCCCAGAGAGGGCAGTGGCACCAGATCAGGACCGGGTCACGGTGGTCTGTTTCTGGAAGTGGCATGGGACCAACTAGCAGCCCTGATTGGTCCCATGGGAACTTGCAGTCTACAAAGAATTCTCACCATTAACAGGAAATGCCCTTCCCACTCCTCTCTCTTCAGGGTGATTTCCAAAGCCCTTCATGCCTCCTGCCTGGCCCCATAGGAAGGCCTCGCCCTGAGCCCCTGGCAATTCATGGCCTTACCAATTAAGGGCTGGAGTTCAATGCTCTTCTCTCTTTCCCCATCTTGCTAGGAAAATTCCCAGGCCCTCTGTTCCCCACCCTCCTCAGAAGCGCTAGGGTCGGAACTGCTCTTGATAACGGGGACAATAGAGCAGTGTGTGGACTGCAGATTCAGAGCAGCTGTCTGTGTTCTGATGGTTTCTGTCCCTATTTCCCTGCCCACCCATCCCCTGTGGCAGGAATTCCTGTTATCTTTGGCTGCTCCTGATGGTCACCTTCACGCTAGGATCCTGGCTGGCACCAGGCATGCCAGGGGACAGGAAGCTATCCTTGGAGCTCTTTTTCCTGGATGTCGCTGAGTGATATTTTGACATGTTTGCAGGGACCATTATGTGTTATGGGCAGACGGGAGCTGGCAAGACATACACCATGACGGGGGCCACGGAGAATTACAAGCACCGGGGGATCCTCCCTCGTGCCCTGCGGCAGGTAAAGAGTGGGCCCGTGGGTGGGATGCCACACAAGTCCCCTCTCTACTATAGATGCTGCCGACCACACGCCAGCCACAGGAGACGGTGGGGTCAAGCTGCAGAGCAGTCGCAGCCTTCAGCGGGGACAGGATGCACACGGCGGGGCGTGTATGTCAGAGTGTCAGAGGCCTCAGGAAACCAGGAGTTCGGGTTTCAGGGCCCACGCCCATGCCGAGCCTGTTTCCTCATTTGTGAAAGAGGGAGTGGGGAATGCCGACGGGCTTCTTGCTTCTCCGATGGCCTGTGACCCTTTAATGAGGGCTTGGAGGTCTGAGTCAGGTTCCTTCCTGGGTTTAATGAGAGGACATGGACCTTGCAGAGCATCCTTATGGGCCGGCCCTGGCACCCACCACCACAGCCCCCGGAAGAGCCAAGAGAGGCAGCAGAGCAGGACAGCAGCTCTCAGGACAGAGTCTGCACTGGGGGTCTGGGAAGTGTGGCTAAAGAGAGGACGAAAGGGCCTTCGTTGGGGGTTTGCGAGTCTGGGTTCTCTGAGGACCCCCTGGAGAGAAGAGGCAAAGGGCTTTCCCCCAAAAGCATCTTGAGCTTTTTTATCCCTGTCCTGTAGGAAGCGTAGATGTCCCTCTGGTGTATAAACCAATCCATGCTCTGAATTTTGAAGCAATATCCTTAATAATCCACTGTCAGAGCTTCAGTATCTCAGGATTTTAGATGTCAGTAGTCTAGCCCTGCGCTCTCCAACAGAAATATGATAGAAGCCACAAGTGCAATTTTGAGTTTTCCAGTAGCCACATTTTAAAAAAGTAAAACAGGTGAAATTAATTTTAATAATAATTTTGTTTAACTCAGGATATCCAAATATCATTTCTACATGTAATTAATATGAAAATTATTGAGATTATTTTACATTCCTTTTCTCATACTAAGTCTTTGAAATCTGGTATTTTATATTCACAGTACATATTGATTTTAGATACTAAATAATCATCAGAAATACTTGCTCTGTATTTAGATTTCATAAAATTCACAATTGAAAAAGTAGGTTTACAAACCCAAGTTGTCCCAAACATACTTAAAGGTTTACCAGTCACTGAATTTAGTATGTTTTTAAATTTCAATTTCAGTTCATTGAAATTAAATAAAATTTAAAATGTATTTCCTCATTGGCACTGGCCACATTTCGAGTGCCCAGCAGCTGCCCGTGGCTGGTGTCCGTCACGTTGGACAGCACAGACCCAGACTGTTAGAGGAAGATCAGGCTCCAAGGATCACCTAGCCCAACTCCCCATTTGGCAGATAAGAAACTTAATGTACAATGAGGGGAAAAGGCCAGTTCAAAGTCACCTGCTGATAAGTGCCAGGGAGGATATTAGGAGTTGAGAAGGCTGAGTTCTGGATTTGCTTTTTGCCTCACTAGCTGAGTGACCATAGACAAATCATTCCATTGCATGGAGCTTCCCACAGATGGGTATCCCCCGGCCCTGCTTCAGTCACAGGGAATTAGGAGGACAGAATTAAATCATGGATGTCAAAGAAGCTCATACCCAGGGACAGTCTGCCAAACAAGAGATCATCATTTCAGTGTCCTTTCTATTCATCGTGCCTCTGCTTCTTGGAACTGAACAAGTATTACCCAATTTGTAAGCCAGACCGATAATAATGGCCGATAATAACTATCACCCAATGGACTAAGCGTTATAATAATTGTCGCTGATGATGACCATCACACCAACCAGGCTATAAATTCTTTTAGGGCAAGGACTGTGCTTCTTGATGTTCCCTCCTGAGGTTAGAACTCCCCTAACACTAGCTGGTCGTGGCAGCGCTGCATTTGGTGACCGCTGCACCCAATCTCTCACCTAGGTTTTTAGGGTGATCGAGGAACGCCCCACACATGCCATCACCGTGCACGTTTCTTACCTGGAAATCTATAATGAGAGCCTGTTTGATCTCCTGTCCACTCTGCCCTATGTTGGACCCTCAGTCACGCCAGTGACCATCGTGGAAAACTCTCAAGGCGTCTTCATTAAAGGCCTGTCGGTCCACCTCGCAAGTCAGGAGGAGGATGCGTTCAGCCTCCTTTTTGAGGTGGGTTGATTAAGTCTAAGGGTTTTTTCTTTCCTCCCACCTTTCCTCCCTCTTTTCCTTCCTCCCTTCCTTTCTTTTATTCTTTCCTCCCTTCTTCTTAGCTTTTTACTTAAATAATCAGAATGAAAATCAATATATACTCATTTAGCAATTTTAGCTAGTATAAAAAAAGAAATAAAAAATTCATTTATTTGTTTTCTACCTATGGCAATAATGTATATTTTGGCTTATTTCCTGCTCATTTTTTTTCCTGTGCGGTTTTTTCTTTACACAGTTGAAATTATACCCCTCCCCCCACCCATTTAACATTAACTTATGGGCATTTGTGGGATAGGAAAAAAAATTAATGTTCTTACTCTATAAAAGCTTTTACAGATTAATTTAAAAATTCCAGTGTGTGCTATTCTTTCAAAAGTCATGTTGGTCGGAACTTTACACACCGCTGGTGAAGTGTGAGATGGTGCAGCCATTTTGGCAGTTTCCTAAAAAGTCAAATGTTAATTTTGTCCATAGGACCTAGTGATTCTCCTCCTGGAAATCTACCCCCCAAAGTGAATGTGTATCTGCCGGTCTGCCTCTCCAGTTTTGAGCAGTGATTTCCCGTGACCTCACTTCTCTTACAGATTTAAGAAAGGCTATGGATTGTTCAGCGTGCTTAGCTTTTTACCTGTTTTTAAGATGAAGTGGTAACTCCCAAGCTTCTTACATGTGGAACCAGAGACTGGAAAAATAATATCTTTAGGTTTATTTTCTAGTTTCCTAATTCTCTCTTCTGCAGATTAGTATTTAATCATCTCTTTAATTTATTTTTAAAAATATTTTATTTATTTTTAGAGAGAGGGGAATGGAGGGAGAAAGAGGGGAAGAGAAGAAACATCAAGGTGTGGTTGCCTCTTGCATGCCCCCAGCTGGGCCCTGGCCTGCAGCTGAGGCACGTGCCCTGACAGTGAACCAAATTGGTGACCTTTTGGTTCACAGGCCGGCGCTCAGTCCACTGAGCCACACCAGCCAGGGAAAGATACCACCCCCGTTTCAGGAAGTGTCATTACCAATCCAGGGACTATTTATTTATTTATTCTTTATTTTTTGTTTATTTTTCTTTTTCCATCCAGGGCCTTTTTAAATCGAATGTTTATTTTAAGGCTATCAGAACCTATAAGTAGTAGATACTTATGTCCAATCTCATGTTCAGTGGAGGCTGTGACTGTGACTTCTTGGAGACATTATTTGACCCCTTCTATTCATAGATAATTCTCGCGCTGAAATGGTTTCCTTGCTCTCCACTTTTTGCAGCAGATTTGCCTGTTTCTCTTTTGCCAAGGGGCATAGACTTCAGGGACAGAGGTCATCAGACACCTCCCTTGGGCAGACCCAAAGCTTTTTCTTACTTCACCAGCACACTTGGATTACAAGGTGCTAAGTCCAAGACTGCGAAGGGTCTCTCCCACATGTATGTGTACACACACAAACACAGACACAGAGTCACCAGGCCTCTGCATCAGAAATCAGGGCTGTAGTACCTCAGAGCCTCGCGGGGTAATAGTGGCTTTAGAAAAGTTGTAGCACAGTCTTGTGCACCAAGTCTCTCATAGAGCAACACAGTGAGGGCACGTGTCACATGTATTTACAGAGGGGATGGGATGGGGGTTGTCTGTATTACTGGAAAGGAATTCCAAAGTTATGAATCTCAGCGCTTATATAGGAGCTGGTACTTAAGTCCTCTTCCCTTCTGTGTGGATGGAGAGAGATTTGGGGGTGGGCAGGTAAGGATAGAAGGGGAGAATGAGAGAAGCATTGCTTTTGTTTTGAAATGTAAGCAGATCCTCTCTTGGGAAAGGTCTCTACCCTGGAATTTAAGCATTTGGCTCTGGAGGAGAAAGAAAGATTTTTATCGCCCTTTGAAAGGGAACAGATGGCTCGGGTAGGGAACAAGGGGAGTGGAAGGAGTCAGAGGAGGACACAAGTGGCTCCAGGTCTACCACCCTTAGAATGTGAAGAGCAAACTCCTCTGCTTGTAAAAGGAGATATTCTCTTTCCCTGTTATCTTTGTAACTTAATTTCATTGCTCAGAGAAACAGCAAGAAACCCACCAAGGACTGCCTCAGGCAGTCTGCAGGTGTCCTCAGGGCGTGAGAGCTTTGATTCTTGCTTACAGTTTGTGGATTCCACCTCCTGCTTTGTGTCTGGCCTCTGGGCACTTCCGTTACTTTCTTGCAGTCTCAGCCATGCATTCAAAGTTGGCTGGGCGAGATCCCACAAAGCAAATGGTCACTGGTTCAATTCCCGGTTGGGGCACATGCTTAGGTTGTGGGTTCGGTCTCTGGTTGAGGCATGTATGAGAGTCAACTGATCTATGTTTCACACATCGATGCTTCTCTCCCTCTTTTTCTCCCTCCCTCCTCCTCTGTCTCAAATAAAAAAAAAAAAAAAGGAAATTTTAAATAGTCTACCATCTTTACTTGTTCTGCTATAGGAGGATTTCTGAATACTTAGTCCATTGTATTGCTGCTGAGATACAGAACAAAAGGTATAGGACTTGGAATTGGATTTCTTTCAAACTATGAAGACTTCCTCTTGAGCAAATCATTAATCTCTTCAAGCCCCAATTTGCTCATCTGTAAAACTGGAGACACTAATAGTACCTTATCACAAAAGGTTGCTGTGAGAAGCGGATGGGATCAGGCATTGTTTTCTTTTCTTTTTATTAAGTTGAGGTATAACTGACATATAACACTATATATTTTAGGTGTACAACATAACAATTTGATGTTTGTGCTCATTACAGCATGACAACCACAGTAAGTCTGGTTAATATCTGTCCCCACGCATAGTTCCGATTTCTTTTCTGGTGATGAGAACTTTTAAAATCTACTCTTAGCAACTTTCAAATATGCAATACTGTATTATTAACTATAGTTACCATTGCTGTACCTTATATCTCATGGCTTTTTTATTTTCTAAATAACCAGAAGTGGAATTGCTGGATCACACAGTAGATCTATTTTTCACTTTTGGAGGAACCTCCATACTGGTTTCCACGGTGGCTGCACTGGTCAAGATCAGGCATTTTGAACATTTTGAGCCTGCCCTGCACGTGCTCAGCGGATATTGTTCAGAAGCATGGTTTTTGGTATTTCTTGAGCACTTTAGAACCGGAGCAGGCATTTTGTTAGCAGCAATAATTCCTCAAACCTTGATGCCTTCTAGGCCTGAATCTTTGCAGAGCTCTGATGGTAGAAGGACAACTTTGAGGCCCAAAGAAGTTCACTATGCGGTGGGGAAGGGAGAGGGAGAAACCTGTGATGGCCAGGACACACAGTGGGATCTGCACTTCCGGGGTGACAGGCTCCTGGATGGATGGGGGCCAGGGTGGAGGCCATCAGCAAAGGACCCTTCATGGAGGAAAGGGCACTTCTCTGGCTTTCAGAGGTTGTTTAATAGATACCAGAAGGACAGGGAAGAGGGCACTTCAGAAAGAGGGGACCGTGACCCCTTACTCCCTTCTGCGAATGTCACTGCATTTGTAGGACAGGTTTCAGTGAGAGGGCTGTAGAGATGCAGCCATGGGGGCCAGCCAGGCCTGCTCCACAGACGGGGACCCAAGACCCTCCTCCTCTTTGGGTGCTCCACTCTCTCCAGGGGCCCATGACATCGCTGCCTTGGGTCTTATCCATAGCATTTCTCAGGGCCCTTTTTTTCCCTCTAAGAACAGTGATTTGCCCCACACCTCCTTTTAAATGTATTCTGGTCATAGGGCCCAACCTATGAATTAGAGGCAAGGGCCTGCTGCCCCATTAGAAGTACAAATTATTTTTCCCCCAACATTTTAAAAGTAGTATATGTTCACTGTAAAAAATAAAATGGATGCACAGACCTGTATAAAAAACAAAAAATGACCTATAAGCCCCAACCAAGAAGTGGCTATTGTGAACATCCTGGTAGCAGTACCTGTTTATTCTTTCTTCTGTGAGTGCTTTTGCCGTCCTTAGATTGTATGTACCATCATAGAATTTTGTCCTTCATTTAGGTAATGTGATGTGTCACCTTGATTGACTGGTTTATATTAAACCGTCCTTGTGTCCTAAGGGTAAATCCCTCTTGGTCATGGTATATGATCCTTTTAATGTGGTGTCCAAGTCAGTTTGCTATGTTTTTTGGATTCTGTTATTAAAAATCATTTGCCAACATTTTCCTGCCTACACAGCACTCCATTGTGCAGATAGAGCATTCCCAATGGGTTGGATGTGTAAGTTGATTATGATTCAATATTTATGAACATTTTGAAGCCACTTAATTTTCCTTGCCAATTCACTTTTCAGAAAGCTATGCACGTTCCCACATCCCTAGCAGTGGGTGTAAGGTTGGGTCTGGGCTCCAATTTGTCTCCCAGTCTACGAGTTTATAAATGAGATTTTCCTGGAAGGTCTGGCTGACCGCAATGACATAAGATCATTTGTATAGCTGTCAGTATAGATAAAATGACACAAATGCCTTGTTATTTAAATTTTTCAAAATGTCGTCCACATTTTCCCTCCACCTCAGGGAGAAACCAACAGGATTATAGCCTCCCACACAATGAACAAAAACTCGTCCAGGTCACACTGCATTTTCACCATCTACCTGGAGGTAAGTGCGGGCTCTTTGCACAGCCTGGGCACGGCGGCCCATTCCATGGGGCCCGCTCAGTCAGAAGCTTCTCCCTGTGAAGCTTCAGTCTAATCTCTGTTTGGATGTTTCATAGGCCCATTCACGGACCTTATCAGATGAAAAGTACATCACTTCCAAAATTAACTTGGTGGACCTAGCAGGCTCGGAAAGGTTGGGGAAGTCTGGGGTAAGTGTGTGTGGGAGGTGGGTTGGAGCAGGAGGTTCCTTCTCAACAAACCAACGGCCCTGTTTGTGGCGTGGCGGCCCACGCGCGTGGGCCAATGCCTCATTGGGGCTGTCTCTCTTCGTGAGCACAGCCCCAAACTAGGCACAATGGCGCATGTTGAGGAGCCAGAGGGACAGAATTAGCGGAGGCAGTTCCTACCTGACAGGACTTTTGTAAAATGTAAATGAGATCAGGCCCCTAAATTCTTAGCAATGTGCCTGGCACTCAGTGAGTGCTCAGTAAATGCTCCAGGCTAGTGATCAGCATCTCTCTGTGTATGAGTGTGAGTGTTCGCAGGAGTATTTGTATGAGTATTGCATCTCAAATAGACATTTATGTGAGTGTATTAGCATGAGTATTTACAAGAGCATACATCTGAAACTAATATAAAATAATACTGAATGTCAACCATAATTGACAAATTAAAAAAAAAGAAAGAGTTCTTTAGACTAAGGGCAGTAAGATATGGTTTCTAATTTTAGCTTTAAGTTAAAATTAATCTTTTAACCTCAAATTGTTGTTTGGATAATAAGCTGTCCCCTATTTAAAACTTAGAATTGTGGCTAATTAACAAGGTAATGTATATTAAAGTCTTTTTGACTTTTATGTGTGAGGAGTATTATAATTGGACTCATTAAAATTCCAATTTTTTAAATTTATTTATTTTTTAGGCAGAGGGCTTCTCTTCCCCTCAGAGGGAGAGAGGGAGAGAAACATCAGTGTGTGGTTGCCTCTCACGTGCCCTCTACTGGGGACCTGGCCCACAACCCAGGCACACGCCCTGACTGGGAATTGAACCAGCGAGCCTTTGGTTCACAGGCCAGTGCTCAATCCACTAAGCCACACCAGCCAGGGCTAAAATTCCCATTTCAAACATTGTAAATTAATATGTGCAACTTCAAAAGATATGTCAAAATGTCCAAGTGGAAAAATACATGACCATTCTTTGTGCATCCGTGTGTTTGTATTTGTGTAAATATTCACAGGATTATTTGTTCAAGTATCTGCACAAATATTCATATGTGTATTTGCATTAGTGTGAATCTTGAGTATTTACATGAATATTCACATAGTATCCATATTCATAAGGAGCATTCACGAGCATTTGTATGACAGTTCCTGTGAATATTAGCACTATTAGCCCAAGATGGAATACAGTCCCGTGACACTGAGAGAAGACCTTGGGTCTCTGGGAAAGAGGCTCGGCAGTGTTCTCAGTGGGGCAGCCTCTCCCCTTGGTCTGAAGCAAAAGTGACCTTTGGTTTGCAGTCCGAGGGCCAAGTCCTGAAGGAAGCCACCTACATCAACAAGTCGCTGTCATTCCTGGAGCAGGCCATCATTGCCCTCGGGGACCAGAAGCGGGACCACATCCCCTTCCGGCAGTGCAAGCTCACCCATGCCCTGAAGGACTCGTTAGGTGAGGGTGTGATTGGTGCACAAGGAGGAGGGACAGGCCTTGGCGTGTCTGCTTCTGGTGACAATGGCATTGCTTCTTCCAGGTGGCATGGGCTTAACTGCAGCCTTTGCACAGTGACCTCAGACATACCTGAAAAGGCAGAATTAAGCATAGAAAGAAAACAGAAGGAGTCTAGAAAGAGAGACAGCTCTGATCTCTCTTGTCTTATAAGGGCACTATCCCATCTTGGCACCTCATCCTCATGGCCTCACCTAAACCTAATTACCTTCTAAATGCCCCACCTCCAAATACCATCGTAGTGGAAGTGAGGAATTTAACATAAGAATTCTGGAGGTGTACAAACATTCAATTCATAACAGACCCCCACCAGCCTCAAAAGAATCTCTTGGCAGAAATCCCATGAGGTTAATGGCCCTTCTGTATCCTGCTTTCTGCAGGGGGAAATTGCAATATGGTCCTTGTGACAAATATCTACGGAGAAGCCGCGCAGTTAGAAGAGACGGTACGTAAAGACAGCCAGCGCGACCAGGTTGGAATCCCTCCTGGTGGGTGCCAGGGCGGGGTAAGGCTGCTCCAGGCTGGCTTAGCCGGTACACTAGCCACGCACATTGTCAAGAGTGGAGGGACCCAGGGCGTGAGTCTGAGCCTAAATTGCTGAGGGGGTCCAGCCGGGATCCCGATACCAAGTACCAAGGGGCAGAAGCTGTGTCGAGGAAGAGGCAAGGCAGGAGGCGGGCTTGGCATGGGGGCCTAGGCAAGGAGAGGCGGCTGAGAGCCAGCTCTGAGGGGGCTGCTCCTGTGAGCTGGAATCAAGGACAGCTGATTCCTTGTTCTTCATAATCACACATGTTTAGAAATCTTGAAAGTAGCCCTGGCTGGTGTGGCTCAGTGGAGTGAGCATCGGCCTAGGAACCTAAAGGTCACAGGTTCAATTCCTAGTCAGGGCACATGCCTGGGTTGCAGGCCAGGTCCCCAGTTGGGGCGCTTGAAAGGCAACCACACATTGATGTTTCTCTCTCCTCCCTCCCTTTCCCTCTCTCTAAAAATAAATAAATAAAATCTTTAAAAAATGTTCCAGGCCATGGTTATAAGGCTGGTATGAGCTGATAGGTATTAAGCATCTGCCTCATGCAAAGTAGTGGTGGCTGGGAGGAACAGCTTGGTAGAGATGTGTCATATGTGGCCTTGGGCCTCGGAGTTTCCAGCCATGGCCCTAAGGAATGTGAGGGGCCCAGATGGAGGAGTCCTTCGGGGGCGGGGGGGGCGTGAAGGGTGAATTTTCCTGAAGCTGCGGTGAGGAAGACAGGTCCTGAGCTGGCTTGGTGGTAGGGAAAGAGCAACGTTCCTGACAGAAGAGTTGGTAGACCTGAAGCTGTGGCCTGTGCCAGGAACACCTGGCCACTGCAGGGTAGGGCTCAGGAGGGCGAGGCTGGATGGGCCCTGGTAGCCTGGGCAAGGCCTTGGCTGCTCTGCAGGTGGCTGGGGCTGTCACGAGATTTGAGTAGGAAAGGGCTCGGGGTACTCAGTGAGTTGTAACTCAGGGAGATGTACCCAGCAGCGGGATACAAGTGACACGGGAGAGAAGTGTATGAGAACAAGAGGCCTTAATACAGGCTGAGACAGTGACATAGGTGAGCCTGCACAGCGGGGTACCCAGCCCGGGGCTCCCTCTTTCCTCTGAAGGGCCACCCATCATAATAAGGTTTGGAAAGCTTTCCTTAGACATTCTGCTTTTAAATTGTGGATGTTTAGGGCAAGCTTCAGTCATCCAGATAATCCATTTATGTCATTTCCAGGGACACTGCAGAGCAATGCATTCCTACAGGGCCGCCCAGCTTCTCAGGGGAAACTTTCTGCTAAGTGTCCTGGGACTTGGGAGGTCATGGGTGGGGGTGCCTTCTGCTCTGCAGGTGGCACCCCCAGAGGGAGGCTTCAGGAACTGCCTGTCCCATTGCATCACAGAGCATGGCTGCACCCCAAGAGGAGCCGTGTGAACACTGGGCCTCCTGGTGGTCTGGTTGAAAAAGATGCCCCTCAAGACAGTAGAAGGCCTCTGTCCCTTTATCTCCACCCCAGAGACAGTCGCTGCACAGGAAGCAACTCTCCTGGTACCTGCTATGCCCAGAAGCTTGTACCCACACTGCTCAAGACCTGTACCCAGAACTGAGCCCACAGTAGCGAGAAGCAGCCGGAGGGGTCTCAGGGTTTGAGACAGAGGCATATTGAGGGCGTGGAACCTAAGTGATTCTCTTCTCCAAATATTTTACAACTTTAAAATGGTTTCTGTCATGGGTCATGTTGCTTTATGTGTTGACACTTCATGTGTGTGGAGGGCGTAACCCCAGTGAGGGAGCGGGGACCGCATTTGCTGCTGTGCTTAGAGCAGGAGTCTGATCCCCCCCCCGCCACGGAAGCAACTCCAACCGTGATGGCGGAGGTTCTTCCCGCGGGCTCCCTGTGGGCCAGATCTGCCCAGAGCACAGAACACATCCTCGGCTCTAAGTCTGCCGGTGACCCTGTGAGGCAGGGCTCCCCGACTTTACAGAGAAGTTGCAAGACCTGCCTGAGGTTGCATGGTCGGTCAGTGGCAGAGCTCTGACCTGACCAGATTGGCAAAGGAAGAGCCCTTTCAGTCCTCCCTTTGGGCCACTTCTGGGTGACCCATATGCCCCCCCCCCCGCCCCGTAGTCCGTTTCCCTGTTTCAGGGCTCTGACTCAGCCCAGCATGGCATGAGGGTGTGATCTCAGTCTGGCCTTGTGTCACCGCGGGCTGCTCCCGCTGCCGGGGAGGCAGCTGTCCATCCCTCAGGTAACATGGGTGCAGTGGGGCAATGTCGGGGCTCTTTGCTCAGCCCCTGCCTGTGTGGTTGCCTCGCGGGCCTCCTGCCATAATTACCCCTGGGTTGCTGTCCCTCCAGAGGGACTCAGGCAAGACCTCCTTGACATCACTTCATGGGCCCAGGAGACTCTGCAGTCCAATTTGGAGCATGTCTCTAAGCAGAGATTTGTTGTTGCTAGTGGGCTCCTTTTACCTGTTTTGCAAATGTCTCTACTCATAAGTAATTGGCCAAAAATGTAGAGGTCTGTCTGATCTATTTTCAGCTGTCTTCACTGCGGTTCGCAAGCCGGATGAAGTTGGTCACCACTGAGCCTGCCGTCAACGAAAAGTATGATGCTGAGGTACTAAGGGACTTGTGGGCAGGCTCTCACTGTTCAGAAGGTGTGTGGGTTTGCAGCCTGGGTCACACGAGCCTGGCTTCCTTTTCTGTCTCAACCCAAGATGCAATCCTGGGTCAGTCCCTTTCCATTCTGGGATGGGCCAGAGTCTTCAGAGTCCCCAGACACCATTCTCGGGGCTGCCACCAAGGTGAAAGGGCTTAGTCAGGCCTCCGTCCAGCTCACACGTAGGGCTTCAGGGCCGTTGAGTACCTAGGTTTCTGTATGAAAGCTCCTTAAAGCTGTTTCAGAGGTAAACTGGTGTGGACTGTCTCACACTCTTCTGGGCGCGTCACTACAGAACTTCTTTCCTGCCAGCCTGGGGATCCCTCCCAGTGAGCGGAGCTGACCAGAGAGAATGTTCAGCATTAGCATTGATTGGGAAAATGCAAATTAAAACCTTAGTGGAATTTCACCCCCAGACTAGCAAAAAAGTAGAACTTTTCTGACAGTGCAAAATGGTGGCAAGACATCCTGAAACAGGAATGCCTGTTTCTGGTCAGAGTAGAATGGCTACAACCACTTTGGAGAGCATTTCTGGCAACTTTTAGTAAAGTAAGGACACATTTGCTGACCATTTGACTTCCCTTTAAAATGCTTCTGGGATCATAGTCACTGCAGATAAGAGCCTATGCATGCCCTGAGCTCATGACAAATGAGTTAAACTTTCCAGATTCTAAATCCTGAAGGAAAATGACAGTCCCTGTGGCTCTGCAGGACTGACCCACGGTTTGGAGGCTGACGTGGGAACAGAGCTTGGACCTGGTTCTTTGACTTGGGCAGGCATGAGAATCACCCTGGGGGCTTGTAGTGCCACAGGTCCCTGGATGCATCCCCATGGTTCCTGATTGCATCAGTCTGGGACAGAGCTCGAGGATTCTCATTTCTAGAAGCTCCCCAGTACTGCTGCTGTGCCTGTTCTGAGGCCACACTTCGAGAACCACTGGCTCAGTTGTGAAGAGCCCTGGCCTCTTCATTAGCAAGATACTCTTTCTAAGCCTCAGTTTCTTCCTTTGTGAACTTGGGGAGTAATGGAATACACTCTCAAAAGATGTTACGAAGAATAAGATAATGGGTGGAAACCTCTTAGCACAGTGCTGTCATGTTGTAAATGCTCAGTAAATGTCTAGCACTCTCCTCACTTCTACAGATCTGCCTGTCTGTTCTATGTATACAGTCTAGAGACATTCCCATGTATGTGTGTAAAGATGTTTATAGCAGACAGTGCTCACACTGCTTATAGTAACGGTGAAAAGTTAGGAACACGATCACAGCCTTTAACAGGAGAGTAGCTCAATGAGTTGTGGAGGGAGGGAGCCACAACTAGGGCTATGAGCGTGGATAATCTCCAGTGAGGACTGAAGTGGCCCGAATGGTAGCATCTCACATCTACACCACGTATAATAACATGCAAAGCAATACTGATTATTATTCATGGATACAGATGCTCCTCAACTGATGATGGGGTTATGTACTAATAAACCCCTCATTAGTTGAAAATATCGTAAGTTGAAAATGCATTTAACTTATCAAACATCATAGTTTAGCTAGCTGGTTTCTACTGAACACGTATCACTTTTGCACCATTATAAAGTCAAAAAGTCTTAGGTTGAACCGGGGTACCATCTGTATATGCATATGTGCAGGGGTAGGGGGAGCATGTGGTAGCGAAAACATGAAAATGAGGCTGGAGGTTTCCTCTGGGATGCCAGGGAGAAATGGACTTGGACTGGGGTACACAGGAACTTCATATTTATCTGCAATGTTTTATTTACTTTTTAAAAAAGATTTTATTTATTTATTTTTAGAGAGAGGGGAAGGGAGGGAGAAAGAAAGGGAGAGAAACATTAAAGTGAAAGAGAAACATCGGTCTGTTGCCTCTTGAATGTGCCTCAGCCAAGGACTGAACCCACAACCCAGGCATGTGCCCTGATTGGGGATCGAAACTGGCAAACTTTTGCTTTGCTGAATGACACTGAGTCACACCAGTCAAGGCTGAAATATTTTATTTCTTTTAAAAAAAAATGCCAATACGGTAGCATGCTGTTAAATTCGTATTTTGTGATGGTCAAATTTTCATGGCATTATTTCTATCCTTTTCTGTAGCTGGAAGTTGATTTATTTATTCTTATTTTCTCATTTGGTGTTCTCTTAGCTCAGGACACATTACTACCTACGAACCTGGCTGGGTGGGTGTTGTACCTGCCAGCGAGGACTTTCATTCTCTTTAATGTAATTTCTGTTCTGAAATCTACACTTTTGGTCCTGGACAGGCAAACTTCCATGTCATCAAATGTGAATGTGTTTATAATCCTTATGATAAGCTTTTTCCTTTATTTGCATGAGTTCTTGAGAGAGACATGGAAGATTAGTTGGGTGGCTGCCTTTCCTAGACTGGGGCCAGTATTCCTGGGTTGCTCCCAGGACCACGTTCAGTACTGACACACATTTCCAAGGCAGCGGAATAGCTTCTGAAGAATTTCCTTGGCTGGTGGGGCTGGCTGTACAGCAGGGAACTGGGTGCCTGACCCACTTCTGTCCCGAGCTCCATGTGGTGAGCTGCTCAGATTCTGAGCGTCATAGTATTCATCTGTGAACCAGGGAGGTTGGACTGACGACCTCCAGCGAGCCTCCCACTCTGCCAGGCTGCGATTCAGTCTGTGAGGTGGTGTAAAGTCTGTGAGCCTCGGGCACAAGCAGACAGCAGGGAGAGACTCGGGGCACCCTGATCTGCCTAGAGGGAACGCACCTGCAGGCTGCAGTGCGGTGGCAGCAGGGAAACTTTCCGGGCTGAGAGCTGCTCCCAGCCTGGTGCTGGACTTAAGCAGAACTCTGTGAATTATCCTCATTACGTTCATGATGAAAGCACCTGGCCATCAGGGAATATATATGAATCTGTGTTGTTTCCAAGGTATCAGTTCCACCCAGAAAAATGCTCCTGGTTTTTTTAAGGGAGTTGCTCAGCCAGGAGGTGCTGCGAGACCATGTTCCGTGGGGTCTGTTGCTCTAGCCTGATGTTTCTGAACACCTTTTCTCCAGTCAGCAGAGAGGGCAGGTGGAGGCCACTATACATGCCAGGCATCAGAAGAAGCAACTTGCATGCTCTCAGGATCTGACATGGAGGCCGGTGACCCATGGAGCAGATGGCCCATTTCCCCACATCACCTCATTGGCCCAGAGGGCTAAGTCTGGCTCTCTGCGCCCCATTGGACAGTCATCCAGCTGAGACCCCCAACAGTTCAGCCACAGTTTGCCTACCTGGGGCATGCGGCATTTTCTAGAGCTGGGACGCTTCAGCTGGGAGAGGGATAGGGATGAGTAGGGGCTAGCCAGCAGTCCTCTCCTGTTCACCTCATAGGAAGCCCACCTGAAGGAGACAATCTTGGTGCTGCCCAGGGGGTCGGAGCCAGGATGGACCATGGTCCTGTGCCTCAACTGTCAAGCTTTATGTCCTGAATTGCCACAGAGCCACCAGGACTCTAGGGTTTGGCCACCCCTTGCTGTGGACTGGTCACAGCTTTGGTCCGAGGATCCAGCTGTCAGGGGCTCCCTCCAGTGGCCATTTTTTCACAACTAAACGAAGCCCTGTTTTTTACAGAGAAGGCTCTCATCGTAAAGTCCCTTGTGTCTCTTAATGAAAGTATCTATCAAGTGTAAAATGACTTAGGGATTCTGTTTCTGGAACTGTATCTTTTTCCCATTCACCTAAAGTTTATGGAGCGCTTCTACATGCCAGGCACTTTTAAAGCACTTGGGATGCATTAGTGTTCAAATAAAAACACAAATCTCTGTCCTTGAAGAGTTGACAGTCTGCTGGGGGTGGGAGAAACAGATACAATAAACATAAGAAACAGGTCAGTTCTAGATCCCGCCATTTACAACAACATGGATGAACCTGGAGGACATTATGCTAAGCGAAATAAGCCAGACACAGTAAGAAAGATACTGCTTGATCCAGTTTGTACATAGGATCTAAAAAAAGTCAAATTCATAGAGGAGAAAGGAGAGTGGTGGTTACCAGGACTGCTGGCTGGGGTAGAGGAATGGGGAGATGTTGGTCTAAGGGTACAAATTCTTAGTTATAAGTTTTGGGGCTCTAATTTCCAGCATAGTGACTATAGTTAATAATACTATGTCATATACTGGAAACTTGCTAAGAAAGTAGATCTCAGATACTCTTACCACACACAAAAATGGTGGCATGGTGGGGAGATGGTTATGTGAATTAGCTTGGCTGTAGTAATCATTTCACTATGTATATCTATATCAAAACACCATGTTTCACACCTTAAATATATACAATTTTTCTTTATCATTTTTAAAGATTTTTATTTATTTACCTTTAGAAAGAGGAGAAGGGAGGGAAAAAGACAGGGGGAGAAACATGGATCAGCTGCCTTTCGCATCCCCAACTGGGGACCTGGCTCTCAACCCAGGCATGTGCCCTGACGAGGAATTGAACCTCTGCCCTTTCAGTCTGCAGGCTGGCACTTAATCCACTGAGCTACACCAGCCAGGGCTATACAATTTTTCTTTAAAAAACATTTAAAAGCCAAAATGGGTAAGTTTTGAGCTTCACTTGTTCAGTACAGTAGCCAGTACACACATGTGGGTACTTAAAAGCAGTTAAAATTTAAAAAAAATTAAAATTTACTTCTTAAGTCACACTTGTCACACTCCAAGTGCTTATAGCTATAAGTGGCTCATGGCGCAGATACAGAACATTTCCATTAGTACAGAAAGTTCTATTAGACAGCAGTGCTCTAGGGTATGTTGCAGATAGACATGTGCCTTGAAAATAGAGCAAGATTTTTAAAGAGTGGTGTGGGGTTTAGGGGCAGTGAGGGTAATTGAGGTGTGCCTAATTTAGCAGCTTTTGAACAAAAGCTTGGAGGCGGCGAAGGAGTGAGCCATGAAAGTACCTGGGAGAGGAATGTCCCAGGCGGAGGGAACTGGCAGGGCAGGGGTGGTTGTGTGCTCATCTAGTGGGAGTGGGGAGAGCAGTATGAAACAGGTAATTGGGGGCAGGTCATGTGGGCCCCAGAGGTCACTGATATCCTACAGACACCTACATGGACACAGAGATCAAAGCACAAAGATGTTCTTACAGCATTGTTTGTAGCACAAAAAATTGGAGGTGACACATGTGAACATCAGTGGGAACGGGGATGCCTTTAGCAGTGACTGGGCAGGATGAAGGTAGGGCCGCATGGAAGGCATCCTGGAGGCGCGGGCTGCCCCGAGGGGACCATTCCCCTCCTACACTGGGACTATCCCGGGAACTCCCGGGAGTTGGGTTTCAAGGTGGTCGTAGGGGTGCCGGTGCTCACTCTGTTCTTAGCGACCTCTAAAGTAAAAGACAGAAGCTGGGGACTGCTGAGGCCCTTCAGGCCCTAAACTCACCCCAGTTGGGAAAAAGTCACCAGTGGGGAGGGAATTGTCCAGATGCTGCGCTCAGTCCACGAAGGACCACCAGGAAGGGCTAGAGTGTCCAAGCAGAGGGTAGGGAACTGTGGGCTTGAAGTGGAAATGCAGGGTGGCCGCTCTGACTGTCCTCCCTGCCCCCACCAACTATGCTTCCCTGGCAGCGAATGGTCAAGAACCTGGAGAAGGAGCTGGCACTGCTCAAGCAGGAGTTAGCCATCCATGACAGCCTGGTAAGGGGCTGGGGGTGGGGCTGGGGTGACTAGAATGTTAGAGGGACTGGGGTCAGGGGGCAGACGTACTAGGTGGGGAGGAGGCAAGAGGGTCAGGGCAGGGATGCTGGATGGGCAGAGGGACCCAGATGGGCTAGAGGCCAGATGGGTTGGGGGGCCACATAGGCAGTGAGACAGGAGGAAAAAGGACTTGGGGAGGAGAGGCGAGGGGGCCAGGGATGCCTGGTGGACAGAGGCATCAGGTGGTCAGGGAACAGAGGCAGGCAGTAGGCAGGACAAGGGGCAGGGGGCCAGAGGCCTGGCAGGTTAGGGTGCAGGGGAAGACAACATGATGGGTCAAGATCAGGGGAGTTGGGGCTGGTTGGGGGGCACTGAGGAGCCATGAATGCAGGCGTCGGGGTTGGAGCCCTCCAGTAGCCTGCCTGGGTTGCTGCTCATGGCCCAGAGCAGCCTCAAGGCAGAGGCAGCCAGCTCCCTCCCATGGCCCTCATCTTTGAGTCTGCCAGCAGGGCCCCCTTGCTTGGAGTAGCAGGCCCACGCTGGGCAGCCTTTGCTTCTCTCACTGACTCAGTCGTCCCTTGCTGACTGGAGCACCTGACCTGTGAGTCAGGCCCTCTCCCCCAGAACCCGATGGTGAAGGGAATGGAGCTGGCTCGGTGGCCAGGGCCTGTGCCCATCCTCCCCACTGTGTTTCTCAGAATGTCCCCGGCTGCTCCTACTTGGGCTCAGGTGCTTTGAGCTCATGGACATGTTCTTCATCTTCCTCCAAGGCCAACCGCTCCCTTGTGAACTATGACCCCATGGATGAAATTCAGATTGCCGAGATCAACTCCCAGGTGCGGAGGTACCTGGAGGGGACGCTGGAAGAGATCGATGTAAGGAGCCTCTCCTCGGGACCCCTGTGTCCAACCAGCCAGGGCCTCCCCATTCCTGGCACAACCTAACATGTGCTGTGCTGGCCATGGAACCTCTCACTGAGTGGGTACAGTGGGTGTCGGGTGGGTGGTGCTGGACCCCTGGCCCTAGAATCCCTTTAGCCTACCAAGGTCTCAGCTTCCATGTTCAGGGTTACAAGACTGTGGGTACCCCAGAGTGGCTAGCAGCCTTGTACACACAGGACGCAATCCATCACTGGGACACAAGTAAGCTCTGGAGCCAGGCTGCCCTGGATCAAATCCCAGCTCAGCTGTCTCCTTGCTGAGTGACTTCAGCAAAATGCTCCACCCTCTGTTCTTGGGTAGCCTCACCTACATAGTGGGGAATGCAACTGAGCTGGGATGAACTGAGCTGTAGCACCTCCAGGGCTGACTGTGCCGGGTGGAATAAGGCCATTAAAGGACGATGATCATGCTGGTTGTCTATAAGGAAGACCCCCAGGCCCATGTTGGAGTGGGTGAAGGAGGAAGACAGCCACACAGGAAAGGGCTCTCAGGGGGAAAGATGCATTGTGTCTTTACAGTGCAGGCCAGCAAACCCTTCATCCTGGAGCTGCATGGGCAGACCTCCGTCCTGTTGCTGTGGGACAACTGGGGTGGGCTTTCCCTGCCTCCCCAGCAAGGGCAGCCCCAGACTGACCCTGGGTCAAGGGTAATGCTTGTGAGTTATAGGGCCAAGAGGGAGGCCGATGGCCTTCCTCCAGCCACAGGTGTGTACATGTCTGAACCCACATAGAAAGGTTCCTAACGGAACCTTGTGAAAGCAGGAGAGAGCTGGGGACAACAAATTTTATTTAAATTTTCCTCAGTATTTTCAGGAACTAGAATCATTTTGATTTTATAGCGATCTTCACTTAGAAAAGGTGATTTTTATAACCCCAGTAAATACTTAGTTTGAAAACTACCAATCAGGTGTTCTTCTGTTCTTGAGAAGGGCTTGTAGTGCCACTCTTATTAAAAGGCTGTTTGCAGATGTCCTGTTCTTGAGACAGGTGGTCAATGGCTTACTTAGCCCAGGGGTCCTGGCTTCTCTAGTAACAGAGACACAGCCTAGATCCCATGGTGCCGAGGTCTGACCTCCACCTTGCTCTCTTCCCTCCAGATAATTAACCTCAGACAGATCCGGGAAGTGTTCAACCAATTTCGGGTGGTTCTGAGGTAAGGGACCCTCCCGATCCATCCAACTCCTCCCTCAGGCTGCTGTTTTCACTTCCTGTGGTTTGGGTGTGTTCTCCAAGCACACCGCCTGTCTCTCCTGTGTGAGCCAGATCAGAGTTCTCGGGATGTGCCCAGACCCCTGGTGTTCCTGAAAGTCTTTGCCCCTAAGCTCGCAGATCCTCCCACCCTTCCTCTCCCTGGGGGAAGCCTGAAGGACAGCCCTCCATTCAAGAGCTGCTCAGAGAGGAGGCAGTCCCTAGTGGATGTCTCCTGAGTTCAACTGGACAGGATGCCCTGAGTGCGGCCAGAGCAGGACATCGTGATTAATCCCTGCTCCCCCGGCTCCCCTCATGAGGCATTTGTGGTTTCTTCTGGTGCATGTATACCTGTAGCCTGATTGGCTCATGCTGGGTAGTGTCACAGAAGCTGGTCACGTGATTCCAAAGGGCCTGCTAGAGACAGAGCTCAGGTGGGGAAGCGTGGTCCCAATGCAGGCTTCCAGTCCCATTAAAGTCATCTTAGAGCAGATGTGCCTGGTGCACAGAGTGGGGCACGCAGATTTACGGGCTTGACAATGGGTATTATGTACACGGGGGATTCAGGGGCATAGAATGAGCTGCTTTTGTCTTTTCTGATTCATAGTAAAGGCATGGCTCCTTCCCAAGGGGTTATACCCTAATGACTTCGAACTCTAGTACGTGTTTAGCATGGCCCCAGGTATTAAGTTTTCTCTCACTCTCTCTCCCAAGCCAACAAGAACAGGAAGTGGAGGCCACTTTGCGCCGGAAGTACACCCTCATAGACAAGAATGACTTTGCAGCCATTTCTGCTGTCCAGAAGGTAAGCACGGTTGCCTCTTGCTGACAGCATTCATGTCAGATTTTTCTACCCCCAGCCCTTTCCAGAGGCACAAGGGTTCTGCATTAAAGCCAGTCTAGGAACAAATAAAGGTAACACCAGGGTGAGTGTGGGGTGACCTATGCAAGAGTAAACTATGCATGATTCAAAGTGATCTCCCAAACTGGAGGCAAGGTAGTAATAAACAAGACCAATTCCTGAAGTTGGGTTGGGAACATGCCTTAGGATTCTCAGGGTATGGAATGAAACACCAGACCAGTGAGAGGGGTTGATGTGGAAAGTGAACCTTTGATGGGGTGGTCAGAGACAGATTTGTTGGGGACAGCCTGAAGCTAACAGCAGTAGCAGCTGCCACATCTTGGTGTGGGCCAAAAATGCCCACCTAAGCCTTGGGCCCATACACACTTGGATCCCCAAGGGGCCCAAACTCTTAATCTAAGCCTTGGCCCTGTGGCTGGCCTCTATCCAGGCAGGGCTTGTGGATGCTGACGGTCACCTAGTCGGTGAGCCTGATGGACAAGGCTTCGGACTTGGTGTTGCCCCTTTCTCTGCCAAAGCCGGGAAGAAATCCAAGTCCAGGAAGACATTGAAAGAGCAGCTCAGGTGAGTGACCTTCCTGCTGCTCTGCCTGTTTAGCACCTGGTCCTCCTTGGCTGGTGAAAAGAGGGCCAGGTACTATCTCCTTCTTCCCCCTAATGTCTTAGCAACTATAGGTCACGGTGGATGTCACTGCTGCCAATACTAGTAACATCTGTGGGGTCCAGGATAGGGCTGGACACCTCTCATCCGCACAGCAACCCCATGAGTTGGGAGTTAATGTCTCCATTTTGTTGATGAGGAAATCGAGGCTCAGAGAGGGGAAGTCACTTACCAGGTTACATTGCTGCTGGTAGGAGAGTTGAAGGGAGACGCTGGGCCAGCATTAGCCCTCTAGTATTTCATGTGGAAACCCCACCTCCCAACAGGGTCCTTCTGTGACCCTGCTGACTGTTACTCACACCACCCAAAAACTCCAATTTACCTTTCAGGCAAGACTCCTTTGTGTGTGCAAGGTTGGAAGAGGGTCAAGGTTCACTTAATGAGCCACTCATTAAGCCACGCTTGTGCCATGTGGTGGAGGACAAGAGCACAGGTTCTGGAGGTGATGCCTGTGTTCACCTCCTTACTCTGTACTTTCTTCATTCAAGGGGTCCCCTTGTTTAAGGCATGAGAGCCTCTCTGTGCCTTGGTCTCTCATCTCTAAAATGGGAATAATAAGCCTGGCAGAGTAGCTCAGTTGGTCAGAGCACTGTCCTGATACACTAAGATTGCGGGTTTGATCCCCAGTCAGGGCACATCAACCAGTGAATGCATAAATAAGTGGAACAATAAATTGATGTTTCTCTCTCTCTAAAATCAGTAAATCAACATTTAAAAAAATAAATAGCAACAAAGTCATTGGGGTTGTTGTGAGGATAAGTGAGTGAATGCAGTCCTTGCACCTGGAAAGTACACAGGAATCTGTTTGCTGTTGTTACCACTTGTGAGAGAATGGGGGCCCAAACTAGTTGCAGAGTCTGGTAGCAGGGATTGCTGATGCCCCTGGCTCCTCCTGCCCTCCAGGAAGGGCAGCTACACCCTAGCTCTCTCTGCTCTGCTGCTGGGTAATCAGTGCAAAAATAGGTGGATTGATGCTTGCTCCACGTGCCACCGCCCCCCCCCGCCCCCGCCCCGACCCAACCAAACACATTTGTTGCAAGAAAATGAAGGGGAGGAAACAATGGAGCGCGCTGGGGGCATCCTCCTGTCAGTTCAGGCCTGCTCAGATGTGCCTCTCTGGGAGGGAGGACCTGCGCGTGCGTCATCACTTGGAGAAGGCAGGCGGCACTTTCCTGGGGGTTGGGGTGGACACTGATGTACGCAGGGAGAGCAGGTCATGGACTCGTCAGAGCAGCAGGCAGACCTGTCCTGCTTTCCCATTGGTCCACAGACAGATCCACCCTGGGTGGAGGCTCTGCAGCTCCTTCCCAGAGATACCTGTGTGACTAATACCTGAGCAGCCATGATGCTCCAGAGATCAGCCTGCGGCCCACCCCCCAGGTCCCTGTGCTTTCAAACCTGAAGATGGCCCACTCTTCCCAGGTGTTTCTTGCTGAGACTGCTGAAGGGATGGTTCCTTATTCTCTTAAAGGGGAAAAAAAGGCTCTCCTCTTTCTCCCCGTCTGCATGGCTTAGGGCCATACTCTTTGTCCTTTGGCCCAGGTATGTGATCAAGATAGGAGCTGAGTATGATGGTGTTTCTGGTGTGTAAGGGCTGAGAAAGGTCACTCCCATCAGTGTGGGAGACACCTCCCTGCCTTTGACTGAGCCCTGGGGTCTCCCTACCTTCTCCTTCTAGCTCCTCGTCAAGAAAGGAAGGTGCCAGCAGCCCTGTGAGTGGCAGGGATGTGGATATTTCCACTTCCAAGACACAGCTGACCCCAGCCTCCAAGGATGGGGATGTGAAAGAGATGCTTTTGCGGGACCGGGAGACCTCCAACATCGAAACCCTTCCCTCAGACTCCCCGAAGGATGAGCTACGCCCACCCAGGTGACCATTTAACACTAGCTCCTGCACCAAATCATCCAAAACCAGAATGTGACCCGCAATATGTAAAGAGCACCTACAGATAAAATAGGAGGACAATAGGCAAAGACTAGGAGCATGGCTCGAAAAGAAGACACATGGTGGCTATGTGCATGTAAAATGCTCCAATGTCAGGAGTCATCCAGGACACACAATTATCAATCAATTAATTAATTTTAGAAAGGGGCGAAGGGAGAGAGAGAGAGAGAGGAAGAGAAACATCGATGTGAGAGACATCGATCTGTTGCCTCTTGTATGCACTTTGACCGAGGACCAAACTGGCAACGTTTTACTTTGCAGGTTGACGCCCAACCAACTGAGCCATGCTGGTCAGGGGTGGATTACAATTATACATGGAATCATTTAGACCCTCCAAATAGCAATTATTTTAATAATTAAACTTACATATTTTTGGAATAAGTAACATTCTCAAAAAGTAAAAAAAATTCAAGATATTAGACCCCTTTCCTTTAGCAACAATTATGCCCTGGTGAGTAAGTAAGTAAGTTTTTAGGAATATATCCTGAGGAAATAATTAGAGATGTGGGCAGAAATTTATGCCAAAAAAAAAAGTTCATCACATCATTAATTTAAAAAGCAAAAAAGCCATTTTTTAAAAACACCTTAATAGCCAACATTAGGGAAAGGGCTCTGCTCCCTTGAAATGTACAAGGATGTGCATGAAGAATTTTTTTCTTCTAGCCTGTGAACATTTCCAAACTTTCAGAGAAGTTGAAAGAACTATACAGTGAACACCCCCTTGATTCTACAATTAACATGTTACTGTATTTATTTCATCATGTGTTCATCTCTCTCTCTCCTTTCCTCCACCCATCCATTTCACAGTAAGGTGCAGACAAGTCCCTTCCCCCTGCCCCAGCACTTCATCTTACATCTCATTAACTAGAGTTCTCAAAGAAATTGTAATAGCATGAAAGAATGTTTCTGAGAAAAAAAGATGTGAAACTATATATACCGCATGATCCCAAACATTTAAAAATCTATCAAAGAAATCCCTGAAGGAGATACACCAGTGTGTGGTTGCCAATAGACAGTGAGTGGTTTGTTTTGCTTTCTCTATGTTACACATTCATTTCTTTCTTGTCCTCATTTTCTGCAATGCTCATGTGCTCTTGTATGCTGAGTAACACAGAGATGAGCGAATGATTCTTACAGTTTAGCTCCCGTCTGGGGAAGGTGGTGCCCAGGAATTCTGGCCTCCTGCTCAAAGCTCCAGGGAAGGAAGGTGAAGTGCCTGGTGGCTCCAAGACAGCCACCCCCTTTCTCCCCAACCCCACTCCATCTTCAGGCCCAGCACCCCACCCTCCAAGCCTGTGGCCTTTGAGGACTTTAAGAATGAGCGAGGTAGTGAGATTAACCGCATCTTCAAAGAAAACAAATCCATCTTGAACGAGCGGAGGAAAAGGGCCAGTGAGACCACACAGCGCATCAATGCCATCAAGCGGGAGATTGATGTGACCAAGGAAGCGTTAGATTTCCAGAAGTCACTGCGGGAGAACCAAGGTAAATGTGATGGGAAGATGGCTGGGGCCTGTGGAATCTGAGCCATCCTGCTTAGAACGGGACAGCCCTGAGCACTGGAGGACTGAGATGGAAGGGGCCACCTGGGGGTGTTGGGGTGCAGCCTTCATTCCTGGGTCATCACTTGGCTGTAGTCAGCCCTGGGGAGCCACAGAGTCCTTCCCTTTCAGCCCCCCTCTTCCTGTGGGTCCCTCATAATTGCTTTATATCAGATCCAGGTGCTAAGCCTTCCATCTATATGTGCTGCTGTCTACCTATGGAGAAACAGGCTTTTGGTTTTGTAGGGGCTTCCCCAGGTAGAGGGTTGGCTGGTGACCCCCCACAAGGTTCTTGGGTCCTGGTGTGGTCACCTCACTGCCCACAGTGGTCTGCTTGGGGTGGGAATGCTGGTCAAGACATAAGAACCAAGGAGGGCAATGAGAATACATACCAGAGGGCCAAGGGATTCTCTGTCGTTAGGACCATTCCTTGTGTCAAAACCCCAACACCCATGCTGACTTGCCAAAGACTCGTCTCCTCAGGCAGGTGGTGTGGGAGCCATCAGGCTCAGAGAGCAGGGACCCACATGTGGGGAGGGTGCTTACCTGGTTACCCTGACCTGGTGCTCTTGTCCCAGTGGCAGACACTGCCCACACCTGCACTCTGGGCCAAGAACCCTCAAGCTCAAGTGTGCAGAGGACACCTGGAAGGGCTGGTCCTGTGCAGGTACCCAGGCCTCAGCCAGTGGTTCTGACTCAGTACATCTAGAGCAGGGCCCAGAACCTGCATTTCAATTAGTGATCATTCCAACTGAGGCTGGTGGTTTAGAGGCCACACTCTTACTCACATTCCTGGCTTGGTTCTATTGCCTCCCAGACAGGGCCCACTATAGGCCATTGGGTTTTCCCTTGCTAGAGGACAATGGCATTCCAGACTGGTCTTCATGAATGATTTCACTGATGACCTGGGACATCTCCAGATGTCACTTGGTTTATTTCTTCAGGTCAGGTGGATCATCTCACTCACAGAGGGTTATGTTTTACTCATTTACTTTGCAGCAACTTTATTTCCAAGTTCTTGGTGCCACTGTGCACATACCCTACTGCCCAGCCATGACACACTATTCCAGAGGGCAAAGGCCTTCATGGGTCTGGGCCACAGGGGAAGGTGGGTGACAGTGGTACCTGACATGCCCCCACCCAGAACCTCCAGGGTGAAGGTCTTATAGGACCAGCTAACATTTCTTTATCCCTTCTGTCCACATCTTTGAATATGCCACCCCTTATTACATATTTACTTGTTTTAAATAATGTATATGAATGCTATGCTGACATAGTTTTTACTCCTAAACATATCTGAAAATGGATGTTTAAAGTTTGTTTACTTCTTGATTTTTTTTTTTTTTTTAGAGAGGAAAGGAAAGAGAGAAAGAAACATTGATTTATTTTTCCACTTATTTATGCATTCACTGGTTCATTTTTGTCTGTGCCCTGATGAGGGATTGAACCCACAACCTTGGGCATTGGGACAATGCTACAACCAACTGAGCCACCTGGTCAGGGCTAAAAATGGATATTTTTAAAGGATGATATGAAGAAGAAATATTATTTTAAAATATTTAAAATATTTAAAATTTTATCTGTCAGCATCAAAAAGCATTTTTGCTCTCCACCTCCCCCACCCCCGCCAAAGCAGTTATTTTCCCATTGGTTGTTTTTCCTTTTTTATTTTAAATTTAATTTTGTTTATTTTTAGAGAGAGGGGAAAGGAGGGAGAAAGAGAGGGAGAGAAACATCAACTGGTTGCCTCTTGCACATCCCCAACTGGGGACCCAGCCTGCAACCCAGGCATGTGCCCTGACTGGGAATCGAACTGGTGACCTTTTAGTCTGCAGGCTGGTGCTCAATCCACTGATCTACACCAGCCAGGGCTCCCATTGGTTGTTAAAATATCAAATAAAATACCTTTATCTTGAAGGAACAGCTCAAGTAAATTCATTTTAAAAACTACCTGCTGGTACCTTGATTGGCAGCTACTAATCAGCCCAGAAAGGTCAGTGAAGTTAGAACATTATTAATTAGTCTTTTGTGAAAGAAAAATGAAAAAATCATCTTAAGTTCAACTCTTTTAGTTTTTTCCTTGGAGATATCCAGAGAACCTCTGGGTAGTAACAGTGTTCAGAGATATCCCCATCTCAGAGTCCTGTAAAGATTCTACTCTGTAAAGGATGTGTGTCTATCAAAGTGACCTGATCAGGGACATCCCACAGCACACAGTCGCTCTTCACTGAAGGCAAGGGACTTGGTGAAGGTGACTCTGGATTACTACCCCACTCCAGGCACCTTGAATGGGGACCTTTGCCCCTCCATTAATAGTGTCCATGACATTTAACATGGCCTACTTCTCCCCAGCAAACTTCATTCAAAGCTCAAGTGTTTTCCTCCAACACCTGGGGACTGCCTCATGCACCCCAGCCACACACGTGGGACTCACCTTCCAGGGGTCCTGGGGTGAAAGTCCCACACCTTGGGGTGATTGATGTGACACCTTTGCTGAGCTTTCAAGGTGCTATGGGCAGTGGAGAGCTGGGTGAGTGGCTTCACAGGCCATGTTATTTTGTCTCAACCCAACAGTCCTCACTGAGCTGACAGATGTTAAGAAAGGTCCATACAAAGAGGCCATGAGTGAAGGAGATGACTAACAGCACTATCGACTCCTGCACCCTGGAGCCTCTGAGAGTTACTCAATATGATTCACATGTCTAGTAGTCTCTAATAAGAAGGTAGCTGATGATTGTTCAAACCATCAAGAAGACAACCTGGCCCTGGCTTGATAGCTCAGTTGGTTACAGTGTCATCCCCATATACCAAGGCTGCAGGTTTGATCCTAGCCAGGGCACATATAAGAATCAACCAAGGAAAGCATAAATGAGTGCAACTACAAAACTGATGTTTCTCTTTCTCTCTCTCAAATCAATAAATTAAAAAAAAAAAAAAAGACAATTTGCAATGTGGGTTTACATGCACTGTTAATAATAAGGAACGTTGCCCAAGTGCCCTGTGGAACTCGCCAATGATGGCAGTTCATGTACATAATTTCCAAAAAAGGTAAACATTGTATAACAGAGGTGCCTACAGAATATTTTTGACTGATGAGGTTTAAGATCAAAATAAGTGAGAAGCATCGGCCATCTCTACCCTCTCACCTGCTACCCCTGTTTGTCCTAGAAATGCCAATGTGGCTCTCTGATCTGAGCTCCCGCTCCCCTTGAGACATGTCCTGGTAGCCTGGCCTCCCTCAGCTCTGCCCGCCCACATGTGGTACCCTAGCCTTTCCTCTTGTCTCCTGTGTTGTGCATTGCCAGCGCTCCCCTCTCTTTCTGGACTGCCTTCCTCCCCTCACCGCAGGTGGGCACTTGATTCCCTGATCTCCATCCTCCTGCAGGTGACTATGAAAACAAGGGGCTGATTATCATCGATGAGGAGGAATTCTTGCTGATCCTGAAGCTCAAAGACCTCAAGAAGCAGTACCGTTCCGAGTATCAGGACCTACGTGACCTCAAGGCTGAGATCCAGTACTGCCAGCACCTTGTGGACCAGTGTCGCCACCGCCTACTCACAGGTGCACCATTTGGGAAGGTTGGCTGGCCATCTGAGGTTCCGGGATGCACAGGGCAGGGCTGCCTCCTATATTCTAGAAGCAGCTTCAAATCTCTCTGGTATAGGCAGGGGCCAGGCAGGGGCTTCAGATGTTTGTTTCTAAGACTTTGTGGGCAGGAGACAGAGATGGGAGAGGGTGAGACTCTAGAGCAGGAAGTGACAGAGGGTGAACCCGTGACAAGTACCCACAGCCTTTACCTGCTTCCTCAGGGACTGCCCCACACCTCACACTGCTGTGCTCCCTCCCCCTTGCAGAATTTGATATCTGGTACAATGAGTCCTTCTTAGTCCCTGAGGACATGCAGGTGGCACTGAAACCAGGTAGCAGCATCCGGCCAGGCATGGTGCCTGCCAGCAGGATAGTGTCTCTGGTGAGTGCTACAAGGTCGGGGTGGGGATGATGGGAGGGCAGGGGGCAGCGTACTGTGCCTCTTGTCCTATGTTCTCCCAAAAAACAGGGCAGAACAGTGTATGGGCTGCCCCCAGCCTCTCCAATGGCTGCCCAGGCAGGTGGGTAGGTCTCTATCCAGTTATCAAGGATGGAGACACAGATAACACCACTTATGGTTGCTGCCCTTTTGGGTGGCTCATTCTGTCCAGGTGGCAGTTACAGGGTGTCTGATGACGCTGGCAAACGTGGGCCTGACAGATCGTGAGCTACTGTGGGTGGGGATTTGCAAACCCAGTGACGGGGCTGCCCTGATGCCCACCACAGGCCTTGTCAGGGTGAATCCTGACAATGCCAGGCTTAAGGGACTATCCTGAATTGGGCCTTCCCTAGGGAGAAGATGACCAGGACAAGTTCAGCCAGCTGCAGCAGATGATGCTGCCTGATGGCCCTGATTCCATCTCCTTCTACAATGCCAAAGTCAAGACAGAACAAAAGGTAACTCGGGGGGCGGGGTTCATGTCTCCAGGAAGGAGGGCCTCAGGGACCACATTCCTCCCTTTAGAGAGGTGGAGGAGGAATGTGCCAGCTCAGGGAGATCCAGAGTCACCCAGAGTTAGTGGATATCTTCTGCCAGCCCCAGAGTCCTGGGGCTGGGCTGAGCCCGTTAGGGTCCCATGACCCTAACCACAGACCATGGCCAGGCCCGGACATGGCTAGTGAGTGCTAAGGTGGCCCATGTGAACCACCCCTTTGTCCAGTTTATCCATGCTGTATGGGTTACCCACCCATTAGTCACTTAGTAGCCATCCTAGTTATCACATCAATGGTCATGGTATCACAGTGCTTATGTTCAAGTCATCCTTATTTTATTTAATGATGGCCTCAAAGAGTAAAAGTTGTGATGCTAGCAATGTGGATATGCTAGAGGAAAGCTGTTTAGTGCTTCCTTTAAGTATAGGAAAAAACATTGTGTGTATGTATATATAATCTTTGATCAATTTCAGATATATATATTATCTTCAATTTCAGCCATCCACTGGGAGTCTTAAAGTGTATCCCCTGAAGATAATGGGGGGGGGGACTATTGCACCATCACATTGTTTAATGGGACAGTTTTATATTTACAAGATGAAAAGAGTTACGGGGATGGACGGTGGTGGTGGTGGTGGTGGTGGTTGCACAACATTATGAATGTATTTAATACCACTGAATTGTATACTTAAAAATGGTTAAGACGGTAAATTTTTAATGTGTATTTTACCATAATAAAAAAGTTGGGGGGAAAAAAAGAATTCCAGTTAACATGAGAACTTTGGGTTCAGTTCCCCAACCTTGTGGGGAATCTAGGATTCACCTACACATTCCAAATTGGTTTTAGCATTTGCCTGCTCCCTACCCACTGTTTCTGTTTCAGCTCACTTTTCCCACCTACTTTCTGGGAGCCTAGCAGTGCATTAAAAGGGTAGGATTCATGAACACCTAGTTGATTTGCAGAGGAAGGGCCCTTCAGAGTGCATGGGCACCTACCTCTTTTCTTTTTGAACCTAATTCTAGTCAGAAACTTTCAGGTGGGCTCTTGAAACACACATGTCTTGTCTGGAACATGCCTGATGCACCATTTTAAAAGTTTTACATACTTTCTTTGGGATGAAAAATGGAATTTTATTTCTCAAAGAATCAGGGCCAGTCAGAGAGAATCCTTGTCCCTGAACTGATTCTTGCAGGAAGGATGACAGGGTAGATGTTAAGTGGCATGGCCTCCGAGTCCTTGTTAAGTCTGTACCTCCTGATCAATTCCTGTTTTCCCCCCTTTTCTGTGTTCAGCACAGTTACTTGAAAACCATGATGGTCCTCCAGCACGCACATAGAAAATAGGGACTCATCTCCAGTGCCTTGAAGGACAAGAACCCCAGCAACTCCTGCCCACTGTGGCATAGCTGCCGAACCACCTGCCCAGAGTTCCGGTCTGCTCCAAGGCTGGGGCCCGGCTCAGAGAAGACACAATGGCCTGCTTGCCAGGAGGAACACCCTTCCTAGGACACCCTTGTTTATCTTCACAGAACACTTTTAGTTTCAATTCACTGTCTTATATGCAGGGACAAGATAAAATAATTTTGTAGTCTGGACTTTAAGTGCTTATCCAAGAATTTATTTTATTTCCTGTCTGGGAGGATGTCGTTCCTTTGTACAGGTGAGGTCGTAACTGAATCTTCAGTAAGAAAGTGGAAAAGTAACTCAGTCAGGCTTCTCCTAGCAAGACTTGGTCCCCCTGGTCAGCCTCTTTCCTTCCTGGCATGGACATCCTGGGGGTGAGTGGGGTCTGAGGGGCCCTGGTTCTCAGCTCCCTCAGGCTGTAGGTTTTCAGAGCGTCCTCTGTGTATTCCTGAGCCAGTGAAGGCAGGAGACCCCCATTCACCAGCAATCAGGCAGGGCTGGGTCTAGGAAGAAATGGCAAATTTTTATCTCCAAATAAGAGGAGCCTTAAAATGACAGCAGTCCTACCACGAAGTTAGCGGCAAGAGCCCCACATGGGGAGGCTGGTTGGCAGGGCGCATGCAGAAACTGACCAGATGGAAGGTTGAACTGAATGGCATCTGTCCAGCCAAAAGGCCCTATGATTCTGTTCTTCAAGCCATCAATGAGCAGATGGATGGGAGTTTTGTTGAAAAGATAAAGCAGAGAGGCTTTTCTTGAGGTCTCTCCCCTTTCCTGTCTAGCTCTTTTCTCTTTTTAAAAAATTTTTGTCCATTACAGTTTATAGTCAGTATTATTTTTAAAAAGACTTTACTTACTTACTTTTAGAGGGGAAGAGAGGGAGAAAGAGGAGAGAAACATTAATCAGTTGCTTCTCATATGTGCCCTGATCAGAGACTGAACCCCGCATGTGTTCTGATCAGGGGTCGAACCTGCAATCCTTTGCTTTGTGGGACGATGCCCAACCAACTGAGCCACACACCAGTCAGGGCAATATTCTTTTGTATTAGTTTCAGGTGTACTAGCCTCTTTCTCTTTCATTGACTAATAATACATAATGGTCTTGAAACAGCTTTTAGAGACTCCTACTGTGCCAAGGTTTCCCCTAGGTGACACATGTCACTGACCAACACTAATGGTGTACACACAGCCCTGATGGTTAGTTCTTATGTTTCTTTTGGTTGTGGCCAAAGAGGCAGGTCTGCCCAGGCTCTGCTCACCCTTCCAGCTATTTGAGGTCTTGGGCAGAGGGTTCTGATCCTTGCCCTTCTTGACTGCTCCTACCCTTACCGGGACTTGTTGGGGGTTCCCAGGTCTTTGGGAGGATCTCAGGAAAGCAGGACATGGCAATGGGATTCATCATCTTGTTGGGGCCACAGGAAACAGCCATTTGTGGCTTTACTAATACCCTTTTCCTTCATTCCCTGTCACGGGTTGGAATGACATCTGACATGCTGGACGTCCCCCCACAGAATTCCTGGTCAGTCCTGAGGCCTGATGGCAATGGCTGTCGGTCACATTTGTCCCTAGCTCATTTGTCACCACATAGACCTCTTTGGTCAGTTCTTGCACAAGCTGAAACAAGTAATCATCTGTGTGGGCAGAGCCACAGGAATAAGCCAGGATGGTGTTCAGTAGATCCTGTTCTACACAAATTCTTCTCAGGAGCAGATGCTTCTGACATGGCAGGGAGCTAGGGGGCATCGTGTCCACTCAAATGGGCCTGTTGTTCCAGATGCTGGTTAAAGTATAATGTTCTTTTAAATGCAAAGCTAAATTTGCAGGAAAGAAAGGGAACTGTCAGCAGCTGGAGAGCTGAGAGCCAGAGTGACCTGCAAATGAACTGGCTCTGGCAGCTACGGATGGGGACAAGGTATGTGAGTGGAGTGTTGCTCTTACGCATTAATGTCCACATAAATATGAGAAATAAACCTTTGACCCGTGCCCCAGAGGAAATTGGAAATGGGATCCCCTGCCTGCATAAAGCTGGCACCCTGAAGGCTTCATCCTTGATAAAGAGAGGAATTACAAAAAGTTTCCCCACTGGCATGGGCAAGTAGCAAGGAAATTCCCCAGGGATGAGGGAGCACAGATCCTGTGAGAATCTGTAACCATGTACAGGTTTGGGATTCAAATTTACACTGTGTGGTCCAGGAATCACCATGCTGAGGAGTTAGCATAAAAATAGCCCAAAGCTGAAACACCTAGTAAAATTAAAAAATCTACTGTACATGCCTTTTACCCAGCAATACAGCATTCCCACAAAGCCCCAGTAAACATGAGCTCCAAAGATTAAACATACACACACCTATGCAGGCACACACACATGTGTGAGCAGAAACAACTTATCATGGAGGCACAGCGTAAGCAGGATCAGACTTATAAGAACTTCAGATAACAAGTTACTGAATAAAGACTACACAATATACATGTTTTAAAGACAAAAGTAGGAATAAAAGTATGATAAAGGGTATCAATATAGATTGCAGATTTTTTAAAAAGCAGAATTTCTAGGAATGAAGAAAATGTAGTTCTAAAAGGTAAAATGATGGACTAGAAACAGAGAAGTAATGACCCAGATATTGAATCTGAAGAAATTGCCGAGAATTGCAGTAGAGGGATGAAGAGGTAGAAAACTGAAAGCAACAGATAAAAGAAGACCCAGGGTCCATCCAAAAACAGATACAGAGGAGATAATAAGGAGATCATTCTCGGTGGTGGTCTCATTCAGTCTTGTGCTTTAAACATTATCCATATGCCAACTCTCAATTTTTTTATATCTAGCCTGGACTGCTCTCCTAAACTCTAATCCTGTATAGCCAATGGCTCACTTGGCATCTCCACTTGAGTTATCTATTAAGACATACACAAATCACCATGATTAGAACTAAATGCCTAATTGCCCCCCACCTCAAACACATTGCACCCACAGCCTCTTTTATCTCAGCCCAATTGCTCAGGCTAAAATCTGATTTTAAAAAAATCAGATTTTAGAGAGGTAAGGAGAAAGAAAGGGAGGGAGGGAGGGAGGGAGAGGGGAGGGGGAGAGAGAGAAACATCAATTTGTTGTTCCACATATTTATGCATTCACTGGTTTATTCTTGTATGTGGCCCAACCAGGAATCAAACCCATAACCTAGGTACATGCCTTAACCAGGAATTGAACCCTTAACCTTTTGGGTGTATGAGATGATGCTCTAACATGCTCCAACCAAGCCACCCAGCCTGGAGACAGTGTTTTAAGTGGACACACTCACCAGGGGGGTGTGACTGGCATCACAAAAGGCCCTGAAAATTCAGTCAAGGAATAATCACAGAAACTAGGGACTTGTTTGGAGTTCCCAGGTCTTTCAGTAGTAAAGCCAAAATGACTGCTTCCTGTGTTCCCAAGATGATGAGTTCTGTTTGCCATGCCCTGTTTCCTGGAGATTCAATCTGAAAAGTGAAGTTTATATTTTGTGTCATTTTGGGAAGAAAAAAATGGGACAAGAGTTTTCTGCCCTGTAATGGATGGTCTTGATGCAAACTGGCCTCCAAATCCCAGGAGGATGCAAGCATTGTCCGGCAGGGAAGCGCCAGTCAAGGTCCATCCAGCGAAATCCTCACACCAGGAAGAAAGCTCTCAGAGGCCTCTAGGGTCCTTTTAAATCTAAATCTTGTGATTCTATAGAAGCAGTTGTGGAAAAGTTATTTAACATGTCAGTTGAAAATTACATCATATATATATTCACACGTTATTTTTTCTTTCAAATATGAATTGTTTTTTGCCATGGCTGGTGTGGCTTTGTGGATTGAGCACAGGTCTGTGAACCAAAAGGTCATCAGTTCAATTCCTGGTCAGGCAGGGCACATGCCTGGGTTGTGGGCCATGTCCCATGTTGGGGGCATGCGAAAGGCAACTGAACAATGTTTTTCTCCTTCACTTTCTCTCCCCCACTCTCTCTAAAAACAAATAAAATCTTTGTAAAAAAGAATTGCTTTTATTAGCAAAAATAACATTTAATTTAGAAAGAATACATTTATTAAGAAAAACAACCCATCTATGAGCAGATGACACTTCTACCAGCTCTGCTTTCCAACAATAAAAGGAGAGGCACCTCATTTTCAGAAATGTACCCTTGAAGGCTGGAAGAAAAAAGAGGGAGTCTTGCATGTGGGAAAGGAGCTCACCTCAAGAGCCAGCCATGATTTGTGATTCAGTAACTAAATGGCTTGTAAGAAACCAATTTCTGAACCCTGTTACAATTCCCTTGATGGGTAATCTCCTCTGTTCAGAAAAAAAGCTGTAAAAAGAATTAGGAAGCTAAAGCTGAGTGGTGTGGAACAGACAATATTGTTCTTAAATTTGGGAATGATGGCAAGGGTGAAAGGAGACCTCTTTGCTCTAGGGCTGTGTCCTGGCCTTGGAGAGGGGCTGAAGCAGGGCCTTGTAAGGCCCCTAAAGAGGCTGAGAGCATAGAGAATGTGGCCAGTGAATGCTGTTGGCTGCATGGAAAAGGAATACAGGATGTGAGAGCCCGGACAAGTCCAAGTGCCACCATTCAGAGATGTGACCTTGGGTGCCCTTAACTTTTCTTAGGTTCAATCTCTTCATCTGTAGAATGGGGCAGAAGCTGTTATTGCCTACCCCATGATAGGGTGCTAAAAAGATGATGCGAGATAACGTCTATGAAAACTCTGCAATGTCTAAAGGCTTCTGTAAATATCCATTAGTATTCCTGTTCCCTCAGGATGGCAGAAAAATCATATTAGGTAAGAATCTCTTCTGTTTGAGTTAGAGCCAGGGAAAAGAAAGAATTTGAGAGTTTTAACACCTGGTCAAGCATTAAAAAGTTCCAGAGCTGCTCTTCTGGCATGTAAGGAGAAAAATAGTAATTTGAAAAAAGGACAAAAATATTTTA